ACACACAAACACAAACACACACACACATATACGCCTATATAAATATGCATAAAACATTTCAAATAAATTTTTATTTGCACATACATTTCATATACGTGTATGTATGTATGTATGTATGTGTAGTATATGTACAATGCATTGTATTCAATGTTTTTGTTATTGGTAAATTTGGAAGTTTTGTAAAATGGCAATATTTTAATTGAATTCTACACGCACACGCACATGCCACACACGCCACACACACACATACAGATAAAAAATACACTAAAATAATAAATGCATCAATGCGTAATTTCTCAAGCATACGTGTACATATGTATATATTTGTACGAATATACACATACAAACATACATGTATGTATGTGTAGAGTGCATTGCCTGAGGTAAATCGTCTAATTTACAATGCATTGAAATGATTTAAATACACGTATGTATATACTAGTATATATATATATATATATATATATATATATGGTGAAGTAAAAAGTTCGTACGGTTTTTATTGATTTTTCAAAAAACGATAACTTTTTGCACATTTGTCCGATTTAAGTTAAACATGCGCGTTTTGTTCGTAAACTTGTTGCCAATGAGATGTTAACTTAATTATACCCCTCTCGTAGAAGGCTGCGTCCATATTGACAAAAAACTCGGAGAGCACATTTTCTCAGACCTCTCTTGAGGCCAACTTCTCACCATTAAGCGCATTCGCCTTGGACAGGAAAAGTTGGTAATCACTTGGTGCTAGGTCAGGACAATAAGGTGGGTGCATTAGGACCTCCCATCTGAGCTCCTGGAGCTTGTGGCACGTCACCAAAGACGTGTGACGTCCTGGCGTTGCCCTGATGGAACACAATCCGGCCTGTGTTGATCAAAGATGGCCTCTTCTGTATGTATGCTGCCTTCAAGCGTTCCATTTGTTGGCAATAGAGGGCTGAATTGAGCATTTGGCTATAGGGAAGCAGCTAGCAGTAGATGATTCCTTGCCAAATCCCACCAAACACTTAGCAAAACCTTCCTGGCCGTCAATTCGGTCTTGGCCACCATCAGGGCCGCTTCACCGAGCTTTGACCAAGACCGTTTGCACTCGATGTTGTCGTAAATGACCCTCTTTTCAGCGCCAGTCACAATCCGCTACAGAAACGGGTCGATTTTGTTGCGATTCAACAGCGATTCGCAAATGTTGGACCCTTCCATTTGCGTGTTTTTTGCTTAAGTTCGTGTGGCACCCAAACATCGAGCTTCTTTTTGAATCCAAGGTTATGCAAATTGTTCCTAACGGCTTTCCTAAATTAATTTTTTCAATCGCTTTGGCTGCTTTTTCGCTTTGATCGAAGAAAAATTGTAAAATATAGCGAATTTTCTCTTTGCTGGTGTTCATCTTTGGCGAGCGCTCACAACGTACTGAGTCAATCAATCGAAAAACTGTCAAAGACAAATTTTTAGCGCGAATAAACACTTTTTCAGCGCCGTATGGTATGACATGATGCGACACCTAACATTAGTACTATGGACAATAACGCCATCTCTCAGATAAAAACCGAACGAACTTTTTACTTGACCAATATGTACCTGTGCACATATACTCGTACTCGTATGAACATATATTTTTTTTCAAGAATTGTATATAAATTAATCTGCATACGATTTGAACTTAAATTTGTTCACCATATAAAATATTGATACTACAATTATTGAAAACTAAATCAGTAAAGTTGTGGTAATTAAAGCTTTCATTTTTCTTAAATTTTTTTCACAGAAGAATTATCTATATTAGTACTCAGCTTAGTTATGTATGTAAATACATATAGTATATAAATATAGATAACTTGACGTATGTGGAACTTAAAGCGCGCAAAAGTGAAAGGTTTGTCCGCACAATTACGGCCTTTAGCGTAGCACCAAAAAAAAAAAAACGGACCGACCAGGAAATTTCACTCGCAATAAAGCCATAATCACTCTTGTTGAAACCACATATTGTTCAAGTCGTGTTTTTTGAATTGAAAGCCCAAAAGTGTCGGTTATTATGCGATCATAATGCGCCGTATGAACAGTGACAGTCTCGCCGTTGTCGTTTACAAAGAAGTAAGCTCCAATCAATCGACCGTTCGGAGACTACTCTAAATAAACTGTAGGTCCCTTCATCAAGGCGCATACCACAAAATGTTGAAGGAGCTCGGCCAAAAAACGCGATTATAAATTGTCAATTATTGGGTTGCCTCAAAAGAAACCGGCAATAAGCTGTAAGCATTTATGCAATTTCCATTTTGTTGGATGACCTTTATTCCATGCTCTTAGAGCTTTTGACCTTCATCTGCGAAAAACTTAACCCGATTGCGATTTTATGGCCTCGTCATTTTCGTTTATCGATCGAAGATTCGAAGATCGAAACCAATTGTAGCCTGATAGGTGACTGGCCAGGTCAGGTCGTATAGTGGATTTAGCAACAGTTCCCAGCCAAGCTCCCTCAGTTTTTGGCGAGTGACTAAAGATGTGTGCGGTCTAGTATTGTCCTAGTGGAATATAACACCTAGACGATTAACAAATTCTGGTCGCTTCCTTTTGATGGATGTATTCAATTTGTCCAGTTGTTCACAGTAGACAACCGAATTAATCGTTTGATTCTTTAGAAGCCGCTCGAAATATGCCACGTAGCTGCCCACGAAAAGTTATAACTCCGAATGGTTATACAGAAGCCGAGTCGCGAATTCGTTGACGGTTTGTTTGATGACAGAAGATCATTTGTCTTGTTATCATGTGCCACCAGGCGCACGTCGCTATTGTTGACGCTAATAATATAAAATCATTGCCGTACGCTATCAGTTGAAACCTCTTATAGAAGATTGTGCAAGCAATTGATTAACAAAGCCAGCGATGAAGAGTCGCCTTGTCAGAGATCTCATTTGATACCGAACGGCCCGGAGAGCTCCAGTCGTGTAAGTTTTGCAGGTACCACATTCAGTCATAGGGGTGCATAACTAGCTTCTGTTTGTACTATCGAAGGCGAAAAACTGGTATACGCCGATTCTCCTTGCACCGGTCTTTTCCAGGATCTGGCATGTGATGAATAACTGCTCAAAAGTGAAATCTCCAGGTCTTAGGTCATACTGAAAAAGTCAAATTAGTTCGTTGACGATGGGCTCCTCTTTTCTGAACTAGGCCGAACAAACTTGGGTGCCAAGCGTGGGGCATGCATTCATCCAACTCTATTCTTCAAAGTAGCTGATGCATGCGTCTTGTCAGTTCTTCGCCGCCGTATCAGAATAGCTCGTTTGCAATTCATCAGCCCTCGTCACTTTGTTGTTCATCAGACAGGCAATTTTTATTCGCCATTCGTTATGGGCGTGAAATGAAACATCTGTTCCATTATCATTGATTGGGCACTCGGACTTGCCATCTTCTGGTGTTCCATTTTCCCTGCTTTCCAGCAAACTGGAGAGGTGCTACTTCCATACATTCAGTATACTTTGAGCATCAGCCTCTGGGTCCTATAAGCCCTGCAAAAACATACATCCTGAAAAAAGTCTCTCGATGGTTTTTCAGTAATTAGTTTGAACTCTTTTTTTCTAGACCCATAATGTTTTACCGATGTTAAAAAAAATAAACGAAAAAGTAATGTTTTCACTAGAAATAATTCCGTATATCATATTAGCAGGATAACCCTCACCTCAAAGGTGACCAGATGCAACAACAGATGCAGAGCTTGGCTCCTAGCTGAATACAATGCCAGATTTGAGATGTAAAATTATTGTATTATTATTGTATTATTATTTAAACGAAGTCTCTATTAAACCGAGCCGTTCGGACAAGTTGGCGATGTGAAGAATAAAACAACTCTACTCAAGGCAACTGAGGATATGTCTTGAAGAAAACCCAGGTATGTCCATTCCTCGTGCGTTCTTTGGAATTGTTCATTCCACAAATGTCATTACATCGTATTTCGCATAAAGACTTGAGTCCTAAGGCTTATAAAGTTCAGTTAACATAAAAAACCCAAGCCGACCGGCCATCTGCGACGTTGTGTCTTTGCTGATTCGGTCCTTGAAATGCTTAAGAATTATTAGGATTTCCTATTTCCACCTCGATGGCTACGCCAATAACCAAAACTGTCGCATCTGAGGGTCGGAAAAACCCAAGATTCATTGTTAAAAAGCCTCTCTATCCTCAACGTGTAACTGATTAGTGCAGTTTATATTCCGGGGGGGTTATTGCGCTATCGAGAGATGATTAATGATGTTTTTATGGTCGGAATTGGTTTATATTTATCTGGACAACGGTTACTTTCAATAGGACGGCGCTACGTGGCACAAAAGCAACCAAACCATCGATTTTTTTAATAAAAAAGTTTCCTGACCGTGCTATCTTTCGAAAAGGTGATCACAATTGGCCACCGAGATATTGTGATTTAAGACCTTGACACAACTTCCTTTAAGCCACGTAAAAGATAAGGTCAACGCCTACGGTCCAAAGTCAATTTACTATTTCAAAGATGGAACTCATGAAGCTATTGAGAGCAGGCAGCAGCCTTTTAGTGGTTTGATAATGAAAACTTTCATAAAAACGATACGGTCCCGTGGCGACCAATTGACAGATATTGTTTTTCATTATTAATGGCAACTCTTCCTCTTTACATTGAAATAAGCATCCGTTCATTTATCTCAGAAAACACCTCATTTTATTGAATATCAAAATTACACCTCTTATTGGGAAACCCTGTAGATATATTTAGTTCAAAAACGCCCATGCACTCACGAAAAAAACTCTTTCATGAAAGTAAAAAGAATGGTTTACAACTGGAAGAATCGTGCAGGGTGACATGAGTTTCAAATATTCACAAGTTGGTTGTAGACTTTACTACAAGAAAGCGCCATCTCACGAGAGATTTTAGCATCACACTACCTGTCATACATGCACATTTCAATATAACTGTTTAAAATGAAACGAAGGACTTAAGCCAGGCACTCCTATTAAATGATTAAAGGAAAAGTCATTTGTAATTTTACACAAAACACCAAAAACATTTATTTAAAATTTGTCACCTTCACAACACAGCTCAACTAACATCATATTCGGGCAGATCATAGGCGAAATCCTCAAAATTATAATTCGCTCTAGCCGATGCTGCCACCGCATTCACGCCGGGCAAACCACGCGGACCCGGCACACCGGGTGTACCACGTGGGCCGCGCGGCCCAGCTGGACCAGTAAAACCACGCGGGCCACGCCGACCATTCTCACCGATGGGGCCACGTGCGCCATTGCGACCATCATTGCCACGTTCACCCGGTCTGCCGATAGTACCCACATCACCAGCATCACCAGGTGGACCTTTCTCACCCGGATCACCATCCGGCCCAGGCTGACCGTTCGAACCAGGCAAACCGGGCGGTCCAGGTGGACAATTGCAGCCTGTGCCTGCACCAGCGCCTGCGCCAAAACCAAAACCAGCACCGCCGAAGAGTTGGCGTGGTGTTGCATAAACTAACGGTGGCTGATAAGTGAGTGCAGTTAAATTTTCCAAACCATTTGGGGGTAAAAAATGCAGGCTGTTGATGTTTGGTAACGATTGCAGCGTGCCAATGGCGTGGCAGGTATGGTAGTAAGTGATGAATACTGAAAAATGAAAAAGTGAATATATGTACGTATATTGAAATTTGTTTTGTCTGTTGTTTTTGTAGGATGTGTGCTCACTCTTACACAGGAGGATACCGTTGACGTGCAGCATACTGAGAGTGGAGGTGAAATGAGATGCCAATGAGCTGCTTTGAAGCTTTTATAATGCGTTGGGAACAGTGGTGGAAAATTAATTTTGTGACCGAAAAGGAATTTAATTTCATTTAAAGTAAATAAAAACAATTTTCGATAAGAATTTTATGACTTACTCAATCAGCGGCAAGGCATTTTTATTGCCCCACCATCATTTAGCCCTTCAAACCGACATTAAAATGACATTCCAAGTGTCATTAAATGTCAGCAAGTACCGTTTAGGCAGCGTTGTATATTTCCTTTGGTGAGAAATGTAAATCGACTCAGCGACTTAAAGATTATTTTCCCCGATTGGAGCAATAAATTATTTAGAAAGTTGAAAAAATCACATAAATTTCACTAATTCGGAATGAAAACGTCAAGCTTCTTGAATTTTCTGTGCAATTAAATGAATTAAAAATATTTATAATTCTATATATACCAACAATTTTCTATATATAGCCCTGCGGACAACGTGCGTGGCTCAGAATGTTTCCGAACATGACGCTTTCAACAATTTTCGTGCTCCGTAAGTTTACATTAACAACAAATTGAAATAAAATACTCCTTTTTTTCAATTTCTCAACTTCTAATTCTAGCTCTGCTCACCCTAGCAACTATCCTTGCATCCACTTGCACAGCTGAAGAACGTGCTGAACGCGCACTCTTTCTCCAACGCACACGCAATAATTTTGCCAGCTTTCCCACCCCACAATGCATTTGTATACCCGGCGCACGTGGTAGTCCTGGTGAACCGGGCACAGCTGGCGTGAAGGGACCGCGTGGTGAGGCAGGTTTAAAAGGTCCCAAAGGTCCACAAGGTGCCATTGGTCCGCCTGGTCAACAAGGTGCTAATGGTCGTGATGGTGCAATTGGTACACCGGGTTTACCGGGTCCTACCGGTCGGCGTGGATTTCCCGGTGCGCGTGGACCACCCGGTCCAGTGGGTCCACCCGGCTTGCCTGGTCCGCAGGGACCGCAGGGTGCACCTGGTGTAGCGATAAGTCCAACAACTACGCAATCGTCCAGCTCCACATCGACGTCGTCAACGAGACGGTAGTAAAGAAAATGTTTAATGCAATCGATAAGTTGTAACTGGCAATATTCCTTTAAAATGTGAAATAAAAAAAATTAAAAAATATGCAATTTGAGTTAATATTTTATTTGCATCTACAGAATTGTAAGAATTGCGTAGGATCTATGTAGATTAGATTGAGTTGAAACTTATGCAGTCCGAGAATTGCAGTCGCAGCCTGGCAAGCGCCGGCCATTTCGAAAGAAAATGTGTAGATGATGCCATCTTCTCAACAAAGCAAAATTAACTGAAGCCCCGATCTTACTAAATGAATGCCAATTGATCGAGTCGCAGTTGGAACTCCCACGTTCTTTGGCTGCTTTGATCTGAGCACCCAAAGAAACATTCTTAATCTTATCTACAAATAATTGGCGCTTTGTAACCGCTGAAGCCATTTTCGTTTCCAAAACCATGGAAAATGTCTTCAAACTGCCTCTAGGGTGCCACTGTCACACTCGCCAAGTGTATTTTTGAAAAACCCAACAATCGTTTGGAGGTGACTTAAAATAAACTGTAGGTCCCACCATTTGCTTGAAAACATCAAGACGGATATCACAAATTGGAGCAGCTAAAAATATAGATTTCTTGAGAAGACAACACCACCAGTAAGTGAAAAACCCCCAACGTTAAAGGGAAGCAATAAGTCCTGATCTTAGCGAACGTTTTAAGGATTACGATGTAAGGCTATGCTGCTAGAATGTCTTCTTCAGACGAAAGACTGACATTACCGCCGTCCAAGAAGTGCGATAGACGGGAAAAGAACAGAAGAAGAAGAAGAAGAAGGTTCTTGTGCGAAAATTCATGTTGGATATGTGAACAAGAGAGACTTCAAGAGAGAAGAGACTCGCGCCGGTGCTCCTGTCAAGGCGAAGATCTTCAACCTACCGAAAATCCGTAAATATGGTTGCCTGTGCTAACCTAATATCGACTCGGATCTCAATTTTGTTGCTGTGAATATATGTATAAATCCAGTGACAACGTTGCAGATTTCATTTCTACTTTCTATTTCTGCTTCCAGTCTCTTCTGCGGAACTTAAACCAGAAATTTTATTTGGTTTCCAATGCTTAGGGTAACACCACCGGCATTTCTTATTTCCTTGGGAGGAGTAGAAGTTATACTTTAACATAATTGACTTACAGTCCTGCATGAAACCGCATAGAATCAAAAAAAGCTGTAACCAGCTCATAGTGGAAATTCGATAAAACCACTTTCAGGCTAAGAGAGAAAGATAAGAGCTCAGCGGCCTTCATTTCTTGCTGCAAAAGTCTTTGAAATGCTATTCAAGAAGGAATAATATTTCTGACATTAATGTGCATAGCTCGAGGTTAGCTTCTCTGCTCTGCGTTTGAGAATTTCTATGGAATGTTCCTCTTCTACGAAGATTCATCTCGCTATAAAGCCATATTGTACAAGTCGAGCTCTTCAATTGTGGTCCAAAAAAGTGGCCGAATTGATGGTGACCCTCTCACCGTTATCATTTTCAAAGAAGTAAGATCCAATAACACCGGCGGACCAAGGCCGGTAAGGTATTAGTATGCTTCAATTATTTCTGCACACGCGGAACCAGAAAAGCGACAATTGCGCTTAGTAATGTAAGAACATGTTTTGTACACTGCTCGAGCCCAGGTGTTCCATGAAAATAAAAAAATGGCCATGAGAAAAATTCTATATTCGTTAAAATAAAAGAAGTTTATGTGAACAAACACCAAAAAAAATGCGATTAAATATCAAAATATATTTACAGTACTGCCGTGGACTGGGTACCTGGACACAGGGATATCCCAGGCAATTGCAGGGCACACGAATTAGCAAAGGAAGGAACCCTTCTACCTACGATAAAACACGCAAATGATGCTATTTCACCTCCGTCCACGGCTAAGTACATGTTTAAACTGACCTTCAGCAGGGATGCTGACTCACGATGATTGAACGAGATCACGTGTAACGTGACCAGACAGCTATGGCCAAAATTGGAGGCGAAAAAAATCGAAACTTCTTATCCTTCTGAACCGGTTCTGCATTAACATAACGGCTAGTATAATAACTGTATACTGTTTAATGGGGCTTCACGAGATTAGGATGGCCTTTTACTCTAACGAATTCTGCTGCGAACGTAGGGACGAAAAAGAGGAGCAGAGCATCGAGCACTACCTCTGTCACTGTACAGCCTTTACATGCGCGCGACACAAGTATCTTGGGAAACACTTCTTCGACTGTCTCGCTGAGTTAGCCACAGTGAACATTGGAAATCTCGTCTCTTTTATAAGGCACGCAAAATAGTTCGATCATTTGAGAAGGTGAAGGCAGGAGGCTCCTCGGTTAAAGTCTGAATCCGAAAGTTTTCATCTCGCTAGCAAAATGAATCTCTTATAAAGTTTTTCTTAAATGATTAGCGCTAGGTAGAGCATCTTGAAATTTTTCCAACGAATGGACGAACCATTTATTCTAAGCCGCCTCCAAACGGCCGATGGATTTTTATGAGTGGCTTTTTATTTCATGTCAGGAATACACGAGGGGCGACGGCAATTAGAAAAATTTGTTCTGGATGTTGGTCGGATTAGGACTGGAGACCTGGCCATCAGAATGCTAGCCACTCGGTTGCGTCTCTTTAGTACACATACAACTTCCAACATCTTTACACCACTTCAGCCAGCTATTTTTTATGCATTATCATTACCATGCTGGGCATTATTTCAAAAAACTTTCTTCAAGTTCAAAATGCCTGCTGCAGCTGAACTTTCTTCTCCCAACAGCAAAGTCAATTTTTTTTTTATTTTAATTTTTTTAATGTTTTTTTTTTTTATGGATGACTCGGCATATTCATTTAAATTTTCATTACTATTATTATTATTTTTGAATTTCTTTACATTTCTTTCATTTTCGATTAACCGAAAGACATAATGACACACATATTGATTGGAGAGTAACAGACAGAAAGTGCATTAACCTCAAAAAATAGTAAAAAAAAAATTAAATAATAATAAAACTAAAAATTAATTAAACAAGTAAAATCTCAAAACTCAAAAAAAAAACAACAAAAACAAAATTGGAATCAAAACAAAGCATAATAACAAAAATTATTAAAAGCAAAATAAAAAATGGAAAAAAGTCCAACCTAACAACCGACACAGTAGTCCAGCAATAACCTTTGCCTGCCATTCGACAAGATCACTTTGGCTTATGAATAATTAATGATCGATCATTATCGGCGTTAAAAGGTGTTGGAGAAAATGAAAAAAAGGAAAACAAAACAAGTTTACTTACGAATATTCACAGTTTTTCGATGCTGCGCGCGGCAAGCGTTTAATGAGCAAATGGTACAAGAGGCTCACATTAACAATAGAATTTGAGTGATCCCTCAATGGACATATTGTCGTACTGAAGTTGAAGAAACTGCAGCTACTTGAGTGTTGTTGTTGTAATTAAAATTATCAATGTAGTCTTCGATCCATAGGGTTTTCTAATGTTGGTAATAATGGCTAAATCAACGAAAAGCTCAGCCGAACAAAATAAAGTAGAGAGGGAAAGTGAAGATCGATAAAACAGCGGAGGAAGAAGAAGAATATGAAGAATATTAAGAATATGAAGAAAGGAAGAAATCATTTTATCAAAAAGAATCGGATTGCATATATGTAGTAAAAAATGCTCGACTGCCATTTGTTCTATCTACGTGATTGTTAAGAGACTATTTCACATCTATACGATATTAGTTAGATATCGTACATATAGAAGAGTGACATTTTTTGGGAGACAATTATTTTATTAATTTATTATTACCTTACGCAGAAATGTTGACAACCAGAGTCAATTTCTGGCGACAGTGGTGAAATAGTCCTCCTGTCCGCAATCGGTCCTTCTCGTTATTTGAAGTTCTCTGGTAAGCCTAACAGTTAAAAAAATACTGGTTTAATATATTTCTGGAGAATTTACCTACGTCGAGGCATAAACAAATTGCTTGAGATAAAAGTTTTTTTTTATATTTGAAATTCCAGCGACAGTTTAAGGTTTTTTGTAAGGCGTAAAGCCCATCTAGGGTTTTGGAAAACGAAATTTTGTCGTTTTTTAGTCAAAAATCAATTTACAAAAAAAAAATTCACAAAAATTAGTTAAAAAATAAATCCGTACGTACTTTCGATGACCATAGTTTGTAGATCATAAAAGTATTTGCTTTTTTGTGCTAGGTCTCATCTTATAGAAGAAATCGGTCCTCCCGTGTACGCCTTTCAAAAATAAAAAACATGAATTAAATATGGACTTTATCATCGTCTATACCTACCTTTTGCTCTTGCGTACCTTCGGGGCTGCTTCCTGAGAGTATTTTCTAGCAATTTACAGGAAAAAAATTGCAATTTTTGAAACCGTTTTAGAGGAACCTGACCTTAAGTGAACTTCCGACGCAAGTGATGAAGGTAAAAATTTGTTAGCAACAAAGCGCGGCAGATTAGCAGGATCTGAAGCTTGCAAGAAAAGATTTGGTTCACTGATGATGAAGTTCACATCTCACAGAGTTGTGTCTAAAGTGCATTCTAGCTGAGTTTATTCCAGCTGTTGGCGTTTGGAAACACCTAAAGATCGTTTTGATGCTCTTGAGGGGGGTTGCAAAGAAAAAGCCTAAGCAGCTATGAAGCTAATTTTCAACACAACGAAAGCATATCAAGTTTGCAGTTACCGAGTGATTAGTATTGTAAGCTACCGTGCGGAGAGGGGTCATGTGTTTAGCAGCAACGATTTTGGACCTCAACGGACAATGTTTGATCTCCAACAAATGCGGCAACCACGGAATGGCCGATGGATTTTTATGAGTAGCTTTGATCTACAGGTCAAATTATACACTTTGAGGGCTACCTGCCGATGTTATTGATGCTGGTCAGACCAGTACTCGAACCCTGACCCATTTACTTTTAGTATTCCAAATTTTTTTGAAACGTAAAATAGAATCAGCCAACCAGTAAATGCTGGCTTAGACACTAATTATGTTTCAATTAAAATTTAGTTGCATTCAATTAGCTAATTGAGTGCCTGTGTGAACACATTGTTAGACTCGTTTTTTAGCTCAAATACACTTTCATACTTTCATAAATACATATATTATTTTTATCAAAAAAAATATATTTTTTGCCGCATAAAATAGAGCCTTTCTTTCGCTAATTGAACAATATTCACGTAACAACCGAGGTGTGAATACATAAAATCCACAAACAAACAAATTTCGACTTCGACAAAATTTATGAAAAATATTAAAAGCAAATTTACATAAATATAATACAGATCAGTATTGTAAAAAATTTCGCTTTCTTTTGAAAACAAACAAACAAAAAGAAATAAAGAATTTAGGAAAAAAAACAATAAACGAAAAAGGAGAAGAAAAGAAAAAATAATAAAATTAATAAAAAAAAAAAGTCCGCTGAGCGGACGAGTAAAATCGAATTCAGCAACTCGAAAGATGCTGAGTGAGAGCTGGAACATACGAGTACTTAAAAAAACATACATACATACAAATATAATATATATATTTCCCTTTTAGCCAACTGTAGCCGCCTCAGCGACTTTATTATTGTCATTGTTGAAGAGCGAAATTAATTTTCGTTTTTACTTTCATTTTACCTACATACATACATACATACATACATACATACATACATACATACATACGTGCATATGCATGTTATATTTCGGAAGTGGTTGGTAAAATTTGAAACACACACACACATATACATACACATATACGCCTGCAAATGCTCCTCAATGGCTGGGCATATAAAAGACAGCGTTGGTGCGCTGAATTCGCTCATAAAGATCGCGCAAACTGCAGACTGATAAAGTAAAAGACGAAAGAATGGCTGTCCGAATTTTTAATTACTGTATCGGTGAGTTGCACCAAATATCCCAAAAAAAAAAATAAAACTAACAACAACAAAAAGAATAGAAACTAGTTTTCATATCTGACCTCTCCACCCCCCTCCACCCCTCTTCATTTTCAGTTTTATTAGCAGTGCTCTTGGTACATCTTGCCGCTACCGATGCCGCGTCTATAAATGCAGGTCCTCGTAAGTCTTTAAGCATTGTAAATGCACCGGCGCATGCGTTGCGTAACGCACGCCAAGCTTACTCCGACGAGGAGGACTCAGATGAGGAAGATGATGTGGCAGCGCAAAATTTGGTGCAACAACAGCAACAGCAACAATACCCTGAGGATTCGCAAGAAGATAGCGATGAGGATGGTGATGACGAAAGTGATGATGATAGCAGACGACATCGTCGTCGTCGTGATGCCACCGCAGCGGAAGCGGAGAAAATCGAACAATCAGCGATACCACTAACGGAAACTGAAGCCGTGGCCGTACCCGAACCTTTGCCAGCGCCAGCGACAAGCGAACAGGCAGCTGCTAATCAAGAGCCGGAAGAACAAAGTGTGGAAGGTGGTGCACCCACAGTTGCTGCTACGCCCGCCACGCCAGCACGCAACACCTCTGTGCTTATACTGATTCGAGACGCGCTTAAGAAGGTCACTACTCTACCCACGGAACAAGTGGCCACAAATGCACTGCAATATTTCCAACTCTTCGAACATTTCATACAACAAACTATCGAGAATGTGATTGGCGATGATGATGATGATGACGACGAAGCCGGTACTGCCGCTTTGGCTGCTGCGGGCACGGGTGATGCGTCTACCAGCAAACCGGATGGTATTTTCACACCGGAGGAGGAAGAAATTATTGCGGGTGTTGAAGAGATTCTCAAAGAACCCGAATTGGTGATGAAACAGCCACAAGAAGTGAAGCCAGCAGAAACGCAGATGGAGCTAACAAATGGCGCTGCAGAGGCGGAGGGCAGTACAAATGTAATTGGTGAAACGAAGCCCGCAATTGGTAGCCCGAAGCCAGAAAAAGCTCAAGAGACGTTACCAGCAGCTAACGCTGGAACAGCTAAAAACTCCGCTTGAATAGTTTACGTTGTGCTTTTTAAAATAATATTTAATTATTTATTTATTGGTTAGTTTATAGGAAGAAAATATAAAAAATATTTATTGAAAACATTTGCCTTTTCATACTTCGGACCCTCTGATCATGTCTAATTAATTGATTCTAGTACAAAGTATGATTGAACACAAACTTGTAGAAAGTTTTGGTTAAGGGACGTTCCCTTGTTTTCTTATATCGAATGTCGCTATGAGGGCCAGAGCTCGACTGCAGAGCCTCTTTTCAACATTGATTTCGCGCTCCTTTATATGAGCCCATCTCCTTTCGTCCTCGTCTCGTCCATTGCACTTCTTAGACAGACGCCATTTCAATTTAGTTTGCCTCCGAATGGAAGTTTTTTGGCTACCCAGAAAAATATCGATCTAACTCCAGACGTCGAAAGCTGCTGGGCAATGAATCGTTTTTGATCACTTCCTGGTGAATGTCAGTCAAAAACTTTCTCACTTGCGCGGGCTTGTGTACATGGCCCCATTCTCTATTATCACCTCTTAAGCGATAAGAGCCAAATTAACATGCCAGTCGTTTCTTCTTTTCACTCTACGTCGGCAATTGGAGGCAGCAAGTAGAGCCAGTTGTTTTTCCAACAGAAATTTTCTAACGAAGTGAAGGTTTTCTCCTTCACCTACATTTTACTTTCACAGCTGGAATGTGTAGCGAGTTGTAGAGTTTGTATCGTCGAGAAAATATTCTACTCTCGAATTTCCTACTCTTTCCAAAGTTCATTGGGCTTCCAGATTTTATCCTAGATAGGCGGAATTATCTCCGACTTTAAAGTTATGATCGTAAACAGCGACGTGGAGGATGCAACAAAGTGTATACAGCTACAGTTGCAAGTCCTTACTCCGTACCAGCTCCAATGAAAAGGTTCAGCAAGCCTCGGAGAATACTTACCAATACTATACTTGACTTTATGAGCAGGATCAGGTCTCATCGGATCAGAACGAAACTTAACTATATTAGTAGGATTACGTCTTATCGGACCAGAACGGAACTTAACCATATGAGTAGGATCACGAATCATACGAATTGGATCACGTCTCATCGGAGCAGAGTGGAACTTAACTATATGAGTAGGATCACGTCTCATCGGAGCAGAGTGGAACCTAACTGTATGAGTAGGATCACGTCTAATCGGATCAGAACGGAACTTGACTATGCGAGTAGGATCACGTCTCCACTCAACGGAAGGGAATTTAACTATATGAGTAGGATCACGTATCAACGGATTAGACGGACCTTGACTATACGAATTGGATCACGTCTCATCGGAACAGAGTGGAACTTAACTATATGAGTAGGATCACGTCTCAACGAATCAGAACGGAACTTGACTATACGAATAAAGCATACTAGCATAAGCACTGATACTCTGCTAAAGTTCATCTTTGAAGACGTCTCTTATGGTTTTTCCGGTTGTGCTCAAATATACATACATGGATTCCACGTACTTATATTTCAAAGTGCCCTCGAGTAAATGCCAGCTGTCTTTTAGCTAATAGAAACCACTCATACATCACTTTCATTCACTTTCTCCACTAAAAAAAAAAACAACAACAAAATTATAACGAATTTGTTAGGCAATAGTGAACTTGTTCTTTGCAGCTATGAAAATATTGAATCTGTTGCATTCATAACAATACGAAATTACATAATGCATAGGCCGAAGTGTTGTATAAATAGACGATGATGACACTGAAGTGGCTGCAAATGCAAGAAACTGCGCAACAATGCATTTGCTGCAAGTGACAACGGTCGGCTGCATTTTTTTGGGTTGGTTATAAGAAATTTTTCATTTACATATATAACTATTTCACTTTTCTTATTTCAATTTACATATCTTTTTTCAGTCTTTGTTTTGGTCTCTTGGCTACCACAACTCGGAAGCTCCGCTAATATTGAAGGACAAGCCGATCCGAGTGTACGCTCAACACATGTAGGCTTAAACGAGTTAAGAGCACGTAAACGTCAAAATTATAGACAAGTCGATTATGATTATGATGAGGAGGAGAATGAAGAGGAAGAAGCAGAAGAGGAACTAGAAGCCGCCATAAATGATACAAAATCCGGTGGAACGGAAGCAGAGGAAGGTGAAAATAATGAAAATGACGAAGAAGAGGAGGAGGAAGATGAATATGATGAAGATGAAGGACGTGCGTTGAAAAGAAAATATTTAATAGAGAAATTTATGAGAATAAAACTTTAATTTATTAAAACTATTTAAATTAAAAAATTGTACAAGACCTTTTAAGTTTACATCAAAGCTTTAGATACTCGGAAGACTTGTTGGTTACCGAACTTTTGAAATGTTTGTTGGAAAATTTAAGTTGTTTGAATATTTTGTGCAACAAAAAATGGTTTTAAATTAGATTTCCCGAAATTCGAAGGTAGAAAACGAAGACCTAACCTCTCACATAGCAGCAAAAAGTATTTAAGATAGCTCACTGCAGAAGTAATCCTTCAATGTTGTTATAATCGCAACTTCCGTAGAGATAGTATTTGGTCTTAAGTATTTTGTACCTTCCGCGATTAAAACCGCCAGGGACATCTTTCGATAAGTACTACGAAAAATCCGCAAAAAGAACATCTCTTAACGCTGTGGAAAGGCAACTCGTATGAATATATCAGGGGCAATATAAACACTTCCGAGTTATTTTAGATTAAAAAGAAATGATTAGACCTTTAAATCCACTTCCGAAAATATCTGGGGTAATTGAATGCACTTCAGAGATTTGTTATATTTTTAGTGTTAGAAGAAATTGTTTGAACTTCAATTTAAATACATTTCCGAGCCCTTAGTTTAACATTTCCACAACATACATATTAAAAAAAAACCCACACACATTTTTCACTAATAAATGTGTTCAGAATAAAAGTGATCATTTAATATATTAAATTCAGTTATGACCTACTGCACTTCAAATAAGTTCAATAAGTGCTTTTGTTTTTGATATTAAATTTGTATATCAGGAAATGTATGCTTTTAAATTCGTAGAAACTCACAACTAATATACAAGGAAATGTATGCTGTGAATCGATATCGATAACAAATGTCCTCATGCTGTACTTACAATAATTATTATTCTTAGGATAAGTTTACCATAACTTTATTTCAGATATGATTCCAGCTTAGAACTTCAACACATGATCATGACGGGTTAATTGTAACCGATTTTTAAACTAAAGACTGTTGCACACTTCGTCTTCTGAATTACTAAGTTGAATTACACAATTCGCAATTTGACAGTTCTGTGTTTCGCTGGTAGGTTTTTTATGTTTCATTTTGAAATGGTACATTTTAGTAAAAACAAGTGAATTATTACAAAAAAAAAATTAATAGAGCTTGGCTTCAAGTAAATACTAGTGGAACTCAAGATGGTAATGCTGAATTTATTTTAAATTTTTTTAATGAAGTAATTTAAAGATTGGAAAAAATTAATCAATATGTATCTATTATTTTGATTCAAGTAAAAGTCAGAGTTTAAGAAATTTTTCTATGGTTTTCATAAAAAATTAGGGAAGAACACGATTAAGTTATGTTTCGCATGGTAATTGAATATGAATTGCCCACTTTCGGCGTAATTTGCATCCACAAAGTTTTGTGGTAAAATATATAATTGAGAGGGCGAACAACGTATTTAAGAAGCCGTGGAAATGTCGTAAGCGAACAAATGGTAACGCCAAGCGGAATTTCTAATTCTGAGAAGAAAATCCTTATTGTAGTGTAATTTTTAATCTTATTTCCAACTAAAATCTTAAAATCCTCATTTACAAGTTTAATTTCCAAACACATATTTCCATTTTCTATTTATTTTTCTTTATTCATTTCTTTAGTAATTTATTATATAACGAAGTTGGTGACTGTTCTCTCTGCAATGAACCTCTTCTACCCGTGATACCCTTTCGATTTGATGTTAGCTGAATCTCCTGACTTCCAACCGACAGCGTCAAAGGCAATCCGGGCTTTGAATTTACATATATTGGTATTGTTATATAAATTGGATTACCGTCATCTGTATCAGAATATTTATGCTTTTGTGGTTTCATCTGAAGAAAAAAAAAATTAGTAATAAAAAGTAAATTAAAAAATGCATTTTAAATTTTTAACTTCACAAACGCACCACAACACTGTCAACACTTTTTGAGCTCTGATCAATACTTTCATTATTTTTAACTAACTCATCACTATCTCCGGTAGCCTTTAGTGCTTCTTCTCCTTCTGTCCCTTCTGTCACTGCTACTACCGCTGGCATTGTTATTTCCGTCACTGACTCCACATTTTGTGGCATTTTTTCCTCTGTATTGAGTTTCTCTTCTATGGCAATTATTTCTTTATTTAAATTGCGTGAGATTAAAGGCACTTCTTTCAGCAAGTAATCGCCGGTGCCATCAGCTCTGGGTGATACATGCAATTGCGTAGCAACGACAGTTTCTTGTGGTCCGTACGATAGTTCCGGCTCGAATGTGACCAAATGTCGATAAGGCAGTGCAGTTGTCAATGCTACGCAAATGTTAAGCAGTAAAAGAACTGTAAACCATAAATTTAATATTTTAGTGACAGCAAAAAACAATTTTAGTGATTATTCATTTTTTATTTATTTATTTCTATTATGTTTAACTACCATTAATGTAAGTCCACGACTTCATCTTTGCGAAGTTTTGTTTAAAACTAAATGCCACTGTTGCTATTTTCGCCTTTTTATAGGAATTGCCAAAAATTTGTGAATTGTGTCAACTCTCGAATGCTAATTATGCAATCTCCGGCAGTTCTAAATTATAAAAGAAAATTTAAATATTTAAATACAGTAATAGATGAAAGTGAAAGCGAGAAGCTGAAGGTGGTAAATAAATGTATGTAAAGAAGAAAATAAAAAGAATTGATAAAACAGTTGTAAGTTTTACAGTTCGCATGTACATATTAGATTCTTCTTCTTGTTTTTGATAGCATAGACAATACTACGCGATTATAGCTGAGTTAACGACAGCACCTTCCTTTCGCTCTTTACCGCCAATTGGATAACTCTATCCGTCCGCACCACAAGACCTAGCCAGCATAGCCACTGTCTCTTGATTCGCTGAACTATGTCAAAATCGTGGTATATCTGTGGTTTATCAATGCGCAGAAGACCACGGCTCCGCACCGCTACGAATGTAGCAGCGACTGGTAGAGTTTGGTCTTTGTTTGTCGAGGGAGGACTTTATTTTTCAATTGCCCACTCAGTCCAAACCACACCTGTTGCCGAATACTAACATTGTTGCTAGTATTTATATTGGTTCCACGATAAACGAAGTTATCCACGACTTCTTAATTATGACTGTGAAAAGTGACGTGGGAGTAGAGTCGCGAATGTGATGACCGTTTCTATGATGATAGGAGGTATTTCGTCTTAGCCTTGTGCCTGTTGAGGCCAATTGATGTTAATATTACTGGCGTGCGCCAGCAGCCCCTGACCCCAGAATTCTCATTTGGTCTAGCAAGCCCGGGATACCTGAACTACAAAATAAAAGCTCTAAAATTTAGCTATTTTCAATTGATAAGTGTATATAATGGGTTTTCAAATAAGAGGCGTTATTTTCAATAGCCTGCTATTCCGCAGGTTTGTACATTGGGCACAAAGACTTGGGTCCTAAGGCTTGTAAAATTCAGTTAACACAAGAAATCGATCATCAAATCGTCTTGTCTTTCCTGATAGCATCCTTGAAATGCATAAAAAATCCGAAATTACATCGAAAAATAATCTCAACTAATGAGACCAATTTCCAACTCGATGGCTACTTCAATAAGCAAAACTGTCGCATCTGTGGTTCAAAAAGCCCAAGATGCTACCTGCCACACAAGCAACGAAACAATCGATCTTTTAAGAGAAAAGTTTCCGAACCGTGTCATAACCCGAAGCGGTGATTGCAGTTGGCCAAGAAGGGGCCACGTAAAAGATAAGATCTACGCCTAAAGGCCAACGTCGATTGAAGACCTAAAAAAAATACCGTCCTATAAGCGTAGCCATGCTGGCCATTGTTATATTTAAAGTTTTTTAGCCGGTGAAGCGATTTTCGGCCGGGCTCTTACTCCATTTTGTGGCTTACGTCTAGATGTTTTCTTAACAATGGCTGATGGTTTTTTTATGAGGATCCTTTATTTTATGCCCGAAATACACTCAGAGGGATTGACATTCTGGCCTACCGAGCTGCAGGGGTAATACTAACCACTCGGCTATTGAGGCCTGAGTATTAGATAACGTGAAAAAATACGACAAGTTTTATTTAAAAAAAAGTACAAATTTAATTCAAATATTATTATTTATTCCATGTTATACATACACCCTCTGAATATGGCCAGACAAAAAAATTCATAACAAATTTAACCTTAACTTATCCCTTATCGTAATAATTCACCGGCCCTTTATTGTAATAGCTCGGCGGTCCTTTATTATTTCGTTGTTGCTGAGCAAGCATTATAGGATAGGCGTAGGCTGCTTGATAAGCAGAGCAATCAGGGCAAACTCCCGGTTGACCCGGCGGACCATGTGCACCTGGTAAACCTGGTGCACCAACAGCACCATGCTCTCCAGGTCTTCCTGGCAAACCATCAACGCAATGACCCTCAGGACCCTGTGGACCAGTCAAACCCATTGGTCCAGGATGTCCAACGCCATCTTCACCTCGTTCACCTTTTGGACCTTCCGGACCTCTAGGTCCAGTCTCACCCTGTGGTCCCTGCAAACCGGGCAGGCCAGCATAACCACGATCGCCAGGAGGCCCTTGCGGACCAGGATCACCTAAGAAATGTACATATATCACATTATATACATATACATGTAAGCATATTTAAATCGTTAAGGTTGTATACCTTGTATACCCGGGCGACCCGCTGGTCCAGGATGTCCCCTACCACGGGGACCGGGTGGACCCGGTGGACCAGCTAGTGTTGAAGAAATCTCACTTATGTAATCTAAGAAAATAGTTTTGCTAAATAAGCTTTTGCATTGCTGAGGATTAATTATAATATTTCGAACCTCGTACGACAGCCAAACAAATATCTCTTATTTCACGTTCGTCTATATTTCGTACTTCAGTATTTATGGTGCCTGACACACCGGGTGGTCCAGGTGGTCCTGACGGCCCAGGCATTCCAGCAAAGCCGGGTAAGCCCAATTCACCTTTTTGACCCGGTATACCGGCAATACCACGTTCGCCAAGACCACCATCCAAGCCCGGCATACCTCGCTCTCCTTTCTGACCAACTTGACCGGGTATGCCCGGTGAGCCAGTTTCTCCTTTCAACCCAGGCAAACTAATTGCAATTTGCTCTACAATTTCCCTTATACGCTCCTCGGATGCTGCAATACCTACTGGACCTGGTTGACCAGTCGGTCCCATGGCACCAGGCTCTCCTTTCTGTCCCGGCAAACCATTCCAACCACTCTCGCCTTTCTGACCTGGTCGTCCTGGTATTCCAGGTAGACCAACGCCACTTGGTCCGGGTTCACCTTTTTCACCCTTGCTTAAACGGCCGTCTACTTGGTTGGCATTTGGATATGCGGGAGCGGCTGAATCACTTGGTCCCTTAAAATAAATAATTTAAAGTAGTGAGCACTTATATAAGTTATTATAACTTACAGGCGGTCCCTGTGGACCAGGCGGGCCAGGTGGTCCTCTAGGGCATACTTCAGGGCAAGCATGTAACTCTTGTCCTTGCAATGCAACAGGTGTGGAGGACAAAAACAATGGTGGATAATTAGTAGTCGTTAGAAATGTTAGATCTGGGCGTGGTGGTGTAGGCGTCGGCAACGAAACGGGTCGTGGCGTTGGAAATTTTTCTCTCCCAATCACACCTTTTGGCGCTTTGGCGTAATGTGGTATATCTTCGCAGGTGGCACGATTAGGCTTATCAACATCACAACTGAAGATCATCCATTGCAAATCAATCTGTTGGCGGTATTAAGTTTACTTAACGGACTGAACCCCACCTCAATGTTCAATCAAAAAATTCACTTACGGGCACTGTGCTTCTAGTTTTACAGTCTCGCGCCACTGTGAAAGCACCTTCGGTTGAATCGATTGGACTACGTACATCCAACGGTGTATGCAAACTGCCACTACGATCAGGCACAGGTTTACAGTCGACCCACAGACGCACATCATCCTGCGTAACACCCAGCATTACTTTATGCCACGAATGATCGAATATCTGCGTGGAATGTAGGAAATCAATTAATGGCATTAAATTTTTGTAAATAAAAGTCATCGCAAATTACTTCCAGCTCCTCGTAAGTGATTGTCTGTAGAGAGCCATCATACTTTGGTAGTGAAAATTCGATCGCATTATAAAGTGGATTCATAATGACACTCATTTGCGACTCGTATTTATAATTGGAGATTTCAAAAAGAAACCATTCATTCGGCGGATCAAATTCTGGTACACGAAATGTACACTCGAAAGAGAAGGCATCCGGCACACCCTTGGGGAATGCTTGCGACGACTCGATTGTCATATTGGAAAACTCTTCAAAATGATAAGCAGTCTGATAGCCCGTTGAACCGACTATTTGTTTCACACCCTGATATTGATGGTAAGCTTCGTCGAAGTGATACGAAGAGATTATATCATAATTGGTGAGATCAGGATCGCCAGCCCGTTGCACGCTGCACGGACTCACAGGCGCGAAGTCGTCTTCATCATCCTGATCATACACCGTGTCGAGTTTGTCTTTGAATTATGAAATAGAAAAAAATAAATGTTGTTTAAGAAATATGCAGTTCTTTAATTACGTATTCTACAAAGTAATGATAAAAATAATTAGTTATCTATAGCTCATTTTCATTAAGGATTTGTTGATCGCAGACATTTAGAAAACTCACTCACGTAGGGGTCGCATTGTGGCTTCGGAAAATAGTTTTTGAATGTGACAACCGCTGAACTTTATTGGCCAGAAGAAGATACAGGCTCACTGCCGTGCGATTGTTACATTCAAAAGCTTTTTTCGAAGCTGCTGAATTTTAATTGAAAAAAAATAATAATAATGATTAAACATTTGGTGAATATTTCGAAAAGCAATAAAATCGATAACATTCACCTAACTGCGTATGACTTGGAACTCTACTCTTTAAAGCGTTGAAACTCTGAGTGATAGACATTAGTTCGGATAAAGCAAGTTTAAGAATGTCAAGTCGTTGATACAGAAGAAGCCTTTCTTGAATGCCTCACCAACCCCCGAAAAGATCTACTTACATCGGATGCCCACATACCGTTCAGTTAATCGAAAGTCGTAGCCACTGACTAAACAGTGTGTAGAATTCAAATATCAAGACGATTTGAAGGAATTAAAGGCAGAGCTCGGCCGAAAATTGCTTCAGTGGTTATCTTGTGGACAGTAGTACACCACCCCTAACGCCGAGCTTAAGTACGAAGTCAATTTGGAAATGAATGACGAGTACGAAACAGCTGGAAGAAAGTTGTGCTGAAGAGGTTTAAAGATGCAACGAGCCCTTCATCGGTAACTTATTAAGGTTGAAGAATCCCACCACATATTGATCATTGGTATAGTGTACCGGAAGGTGTTTATTCTATCAGGTAATGACTCTGGTGGCTGTTTGAAGACTGCTTTAATGGGGTCCACTTAATTTTCAATGCCTCTTCTGACGCGCACTTGATATACCTGGTTTTTACGATAGCATCTCGGCAGATATTTCCTCCTGACATTGTCATTATTCTTTTTGAAGAGATTCATTAACGGAACCGATTTCAAACTAGCACTTAAAACACTGTACTGACATCCTCAAGTTTTCCTTAATGGACTCGTACCTGCCCACGTTGGCGGTTCATTCAGACCGTTCAAATGCTATTTATATCCCCGACATCGTTTCTTCATCTGACGTCTGTTGCTGTTAAGATTTCGTAACAGAACTATAGGCTATCGGATCGGTTGAAGTTGGGTTATTAAGACTGCAGAATTGAAATCTATCGCCTGTGCATTCCTACTTCTTCGTCCATCTATTGTTATACAGACAGTGTTCTGGGATTATAAATATTTCCTTAAACAAATTGAAATAAAAATTATTAAAAGTGAATTATTATTATAAATTCACCGAAACTTCGATGGACCCTTTTTTTTGGAAGTTTTTAGCTAGATACATATCTATTTAGGGCAAGGACCTCTTTAGTAACTCAATCTGTTAATTAAAAAAAAATAAGAAAAAAATGTTGCTGGGGTTACAAATTAGTTCGGTCTGTTCTCTAAAGACGGCTCCCCATACAAGTTCTGGCCGATAATAAAATAAGAATTATATAAAAAAAATGTATTTTAAATGCAATTTATTTACGTTTATTTTCGAAAACGGTAAATTTCTTGTAATTTTGCTTAGCTATTTATTTCAGTATAATATGACAATTCGACAATCGAAACCGACTCAAACACCCACATCAAATAGCACATCACTAGTGCGTGTTCTCCTTCTGTTTATGAGGAAATAGTGTCAAAAATGGGGTTATCAGCAAATGCACCATCTTAAATTTCGACAAACATTAGACTTAATTATAATTGTAATAATACAGAGAGTAAGTTTGTTTGTTATAATATATTTCATATAGAAAATTTCGAAATACAAACCGCACTATATTTTACTTTACTTTATTTCCATTTCTTATTCAATTTCAATTTTAAATTTTCGTTAAATTATGGTCTTAGATCTGGGTTTTGAGCTCAAAAATCGAAAGTAAAAAAAAAATTTAAAAAAATATATTATAAAATTTGAAAAAGAATCACTAATACAAATAAAAAAGTTATTAAATTCATTAAAAATATTTAAATTCTCTTTCAGATTTGGCAAAGTATGTATGATTTTATTTTAATATAATTTGATAAATTTCAAATACAATTTTTTGTTACAATAAATTGAATTTATTTCATTGTGGTTAATTTAATTTAATTTGTTTTCTTTTTAATTTATCACTTTCTTATTTGTATTTATTAATTTAAAATCAATTTTTCTTTTTTAATATTTCACTCTTCTATCAATTAATTCCCTTGTTGTTTATGAAGAGAGCATTGCTTTTTAATTTATTTATACATATATATAATATATATATTACCATCATTTAAATAAATAAATAATAAAAAAAAAAATACCCACCATACTGTATTTGTCGTTTGGAGCTGACAGCAAAAATTGTTTGTGGCCCGAAAATTAATGTAACCGTTAAAAGCGTAAGAAATAACTGCATTTTTAATTTTTGTACTAATTTTTATTTTTTTAATATTTTTGCATTTTCTAATTTTTCACTAAAATTTAAAACTTTTTTCAAATATTTTATACTTTTTTTCATATTAATATAAAGATCCTCGATCGCCGAAGACGGCCACGCAACTGAATTGAAATGATAATTCAAATTGGTTCACGCAGCCATCCGTTCAGAACCAAGTATGACTATATGTATGTATGTAGCTATAAAAATTAATATATAGGTATGTATGTAAGCCCAGATATATAACTGATGCTCTTTTTGTTGTAATCTCATTATTTCTATTTATTATATTTTCCCTTAGCCGGCTTCATCTGCCTTGGCTTATCGCTTGCCATTTGTTTGTTACCAATGGAAATTAGATTGTGATTTTAATCGATTTGACAGTTGTTCTATTAATTCATTCAGAATATATATAAATATGTCCATATGTGTAATAAACAAAGAAAAATTCAAGCATGCATATACATACGTACATAAATCTACTATATAATGGAATAATATATTAATTCTAATTCTAATTTTAATTCGAACTCTAAAATAGCTGTTCATAGTTTTACTCCCCTCGCGCGCATTTAATGTTAAGCCGCTATTGTGAATGGCTATCGCTTGATTTATTCGCTGACAGCTGGCACGGTTTGTTTACAAATTCAATAAATTAAATTGCTGGGAATAATGGTGATTAAAAGGTTGAAATCAGATATAATTTCCTACAAATTTATATGAACAGAGAAAATGAACTTAAAAAAGAACAAAAGTTAAAATATGCTACACGCAAGTGATTACAACGAAGTTTGGCTCAAGCTTTGCATCCTGAAAGAAAGCTTTAGTGGTACGGGTCAGATATAGACGTTTCCTACCGCTTCCGTCTGCAATATTACCGCAAACTTCTGTCTTTAAATCACACCGAAATTTTATTAATCTCCACATAATTCAGTAAAGTAATTATCGGATTATTTACCATCTCGTGGGTGTAAACAATTTTTTCTACGACACTGTAATTGCGCTTGTTTTTTGTATACAAACGAGTGTGTACAAGCATATATATGTATACCAATGTTTGTTAAATAAAATTATCATCTGCTGGATTAGTCAAAAAGTGCTGTCTGTCGTACTTAGCAATGACCTTGACCAAAAAAAAAAAACATCTAAATTACTTTACAATAAATATTCTCGCATTAGTTTGGAAAATTAAGTGTTTAAAAAGTTTTTAGGCAAAGAAAACATAGAAAATCTCTGGAGAAACCTGTAAGAAAAAAGTTTTTGGGATTTTAGAAACAACGGAATTTCATGTTTTTTTCAACGAAACTCGCTCAGATAGAACGAATAGCTGATATGGAGGTCGGTACTCAGCACATGTGCCACATAGCAAGGTCATTGATAGATTTAGAGAACGTTTTCGAAGAAGGTATTCTGCATAAAGAAGAGTTGGAAAGTGAAAATGCGGAGAGCTTGAAAGTTTTGAAGCTCGCTATTGTAAGTACCTATAGGAGCCAGACGGACGTTCTTGCGACCGAGTGTAAGAGCTGTGGCTCTAACCGAATGCCAAAAGATGACGAGCGCCAAACTTTCAGCCGAAAAGCGCAGAATCTTGCACAACTGCCGGGTGTGAAATATTGAAAAACCCTAAGGGAACGTGTTAATTTAATCCAATCGGTATGGTTGCTAAAAATAAATCAAATAAATATAGACGTTAGGGTCAATGAAATTCTTTCTCATCATTGTGTGATGTGTAGAATAAAACACGTGCACGTCGCTCAAGAACAACCGAGAATATTAATGCTGTAGCCCGAAATGTTGATGAAACCCCAGTTTTGTCTATTCCCCCCGTCGTTCTTTGGAATTTTGTATTCCACAAAGGTCATTACAACTTATTTTGCATAAAGACTTGCGCCTTAAGGCTTATAGAGCACAGTCATCATAGAAACTCAAACCAACCCAACATCAACATAGTGGTGTCTTTGCTGATTGGATCCTTGAAATGCATAAAAATGATCCGGAATTTCATCGAAAATCCTCTTGAATGTTGAGGCTCATTTCCGCCTAGATAGCTACGTCGATATGCAAAATTTTCCCGTCTATCGTCCGGAAAAACCAAGGTTTATTACTGAAAGCCTCTCAAGCAATGAAACCACCAATCCTTTAAAGAAAAAGTTTCCTAACCGAGTTATCTCTTGAAGGGGTGATCACAATTGGCCACCGAGATCTAATGATTTAACACCTTGTGACTTCTCCCCTTGAATCCACGTGAAAGATAAGGTCGAAGCCAAGAGGCTAAAGTTGATTCAAGACCACAAAGACGGTGTTCATTAAGCTATTGAGGCATATGCGGTCTTTTAAGCGTAGCTGTGGCGGCCATTTGGCTAAAAATTTTTCCATTGTGGCATGTCTTTCCTTTACATTGAAATAAACAATCGACAACACAGTTCAAGTAAAGGAGTGTAAATATTTGGCCAGTCTGTAGCCACCTTAACAGTGTATGGTTGCCCCCTGACAGGAAATGTCAACCTCTCCGAGTGTATTTCTGACTTGAAATCAAAGTTCCTCATAAAATTCCATCGGCCATTCGGAGGTGGATTAGAACAAACTGCAGGTCTTCCCATTTGTTGGGAAAACGTCAAGACGCAAAACCAGAGTTTTGAAGAGGAGCTCGACGCAGACACATCTATAACGTTTTCATGACTACATTTGCAGGTGAGCGCGAAGTAAATGAAAGTCTTACAAAAAAATTATAGTAAAACGTCAAGAGGCTAACTTGACTGCGCAGTATAAAGGCTTTACGTATCTTCTACCAACCTCTAAACTGACTTCAAAGGGATGTGTGTTTAGTTAGGTTAGAGCCATGAATGTAGTATTCGTTATAAATTTAAGATTTGTGGCGACTAGAAGCCTCAGTTGAGTGGTAATAAAGCGCCCTCTGCAGAGGAAGTGTTTGCGTTAAACTCTGTGCTCTAACACCGAGCATATCTTCCAGACAACCAAGTTCTTTGAGAGTCTACTTTTCTTACCTTAAACTATGAGTCATCCTCTTGCAAAAGCGGCAAATAAAACAAAAAATTGGCACCATCACTACATTTCGTGGAGAAAGTAACAGAGATCAACTGATTTCAAGTACAAGTACCTACAATTTCTTTTTTATCCATCCAGCCAAAAGAGTGATAAATAATAAAAAGTGCTACAAAAGTGATTTAATTTCCCTTAAAACTTCTTTACATACATACATACAAAGACACTTTGATCACTTTTTCTGCAACCAAACACGATAGCTTGTGAAAAATAATTCAAACAAATCAAAATAAAAATCGACTGACCCAATTACCGAAAAACCGGCTATAACACTCATCACAACAAACCGCAGCTCCGCTCAAGATCTGTTTGTCCAAAACATTAAGAAGCTGAAACACTTCTAGGAAGCTGAAAAAGTACATACACATACACAACACAACGCAACAAGCAGCATACAGCATACAGCGGACGGCGGACGGCGGCTTATTCAAATTTCACCCAAAACAATCTTCGGTGGCTCACGCACGTCGGGGCAGAGCACAGCGAGAAAGTGTAGAAACAAACAGAAGCGACAACAGCGAACAATAACAGTGATAAACAAATTGACAGTGTATAATAACAACAACAACAAAAGAGAAAAAAAAAGAAGCGCTGACCAAACCAGTCAAGAAAGAAGAATGCACTAAAAGAATACCCAGTTGAACTGAAAACTTGCCTTATTACTTTTTACCTGCGCCTTCCATACCATTTTCTTACAAGTTCACTATCTTTTAAGTTACTTAAGCAGCCCGCGGCGCGCCAGTGTACGCAGTTGTATTGCATCTGCGCTTACAACCAGATTGCTGTTTGTAGCGCTTCTACTCATCCATCGACTACCCAATATACGCCACAAAAGTCACTTACAAGTCAACATGAATTTTTACAAAATCAGCGTAATTTCGGGTAAGTCGAAATATTGTCGAGCATACATTTCGGTACTAAAACCTTTCACAACACACCAACAGTGTTCGTCCTTCTGCTCACCATCACCACCATTGATGCTAAGAAACACAAGAAACATCGGTCATCGTATAACGAAGCGCGAGGTAAGAGTAAAACCAAGACGAAATGGTCCAGCTCAACAGATTTGAGTCGTACTGGCGCACAGCTCGCAACCGAGGAGCATGGTTACTATGTGAAACGCACCTTTTTGCCACTCAACGCTACCGCCAATCAGCCGTTAACAGCGCCACGTAGTCCTCCATTTCTGGCTGTGCCCATCGCTTGGTTTGCCTGTGAGGGGGAGGCATGCACAAAGGCCAATACGGCGACAATAGGTGGTAGTGCAGCCGCATTACAAGATGGTTTTCTCTGCGATGATGATTGCGTCGAGCCGTACGCACCAATTTGCGGTAGAACATCTAGTGAATTGGCGGTTTTCTACAACAAATGTAAGTTAAATGTGGCCAAGTGTCGTACACATGGTCTTTGGTTGGATGTCGCCTATGAGGAGTGCCAAAAGTCGCATCCCAAAGAAGTAGCTTACGCTGAGCGTAAATTCAAATCATCGCCATTCTTTAAGAACACAAAAACTGTTGTAGCGGTGCGTAAGCCAGAAAAGGATTCATCATCCTCCGAAGAGGACGATTCCGTGTTTGACGTGGCCTTGCAAGCATTGGACAAAATAGGTGATCGGATTGCTGAAGCCGAGGCGGCAGCAATAGATGAGGCGTCCACTGCAATAGTGTTAGGTGAAGTGAATGCGCCCACTGCTAAACCAGTTAAAGTGGCGACGATATTAAACGGCACACCAATTCCACAACCAGTGAAGGAAATTAGTACAACCGCAAAGCCTGTTAAAACGAGCGATGGTCAAAAGTTGTTGGAGAATGATATAAACAAACCTGTTGTTGTGGCGGACAATCAACCAACAACACCACCTAGTGTTGCCATAATATCGGAGGCTGGTAGTAATGCCGCTAAAGTGGTTGTGCGCGACTAACTGTACTCTCTTGTAGTTATGTGATATTTTTTAATCGATATTTTTGCTGATACATACCGATTTGTAAAAAAATAAATATTTATTACCGTAAAATTGGTGAATTTACAGATTTTATAAAATAAAATGGTAATTAAATGAAAAACACCTTTTTTCAGGGTAAAAAAATGTATCCTTAAGTTAGTTGCACTTCAACAGAGACCAAAAACCGTTATAGTAATCCAGGGATGAGTTGCTCTTACAAACCAATTTCTACTCAATCTCAACCAGAGGTCAAAGTATTTGATCATCACTAGTCCAACTATCCACTAAATGTGCTTCAAGCTCGGATGCCATGTTGTCACGTTGCCCTCTTTCGAAAGTCGGCCAACTTCTTCAACTCTCGATACTTTTCCACGCGACATGCGTTATATTCGAACGCAACATTGCGAGATCGGCAGTATTTCTTCTTTCCATTGCTCTTCCACATTGCTCACCGTAGCAGCGTTTATCTAGAGCATTTGAAATGACGTTCGCTTAAATCGAGTTACTCTCTTGAGAAATAACAATGCAAGTCGATAGGAAGCCGAATGATTGTCTGTTATGGCTACAGATTCTCGGCGTCCATTCCTTGAAATCAATCAGCGTCAACCCGTTTGGGGATGTTTCGTCTTGGAGGATGTATTTCCGGCAGTTTTCTCGTAGATATTCTTAGCTCATTCTGGCGTCAAAGTTGCCAAAGTCGATGAAGTGCTCATAACTGCGCTTGGGGTTCTCATGAAATACACTTTAGTTATGTATTCCGTAGGGTGATTGCTGAGAAAGTACGCCTTGATACAGATTGTGGCGTAACGTTCAACCATTGGGGTCAGGTCTCTCGAACCACGACTCTGATACCAAATTTGCATTTACATCGAAAGAGTCTGGGTGACGCATGAGCATGCAACCTGGCAGCGTTACTTGGGATATCTACTTGCACGAATCAAAGATGGCTGATGCAGTGGGCGTCGGAACCTATAGTGCCGAGCTGGATCGCGGGCAACTCTGCAAGCTTCCGAAATACTGCAGTATCTTCTATCGAGGCAGAAGTATTCGCCGTTAGAAAAGCTGCTGAGAGAGCTAACAACGCAGGATACCACAATTCCAAACGGCAATTAAGGCAATAACAGACATCGTATTGTGTCAAAAAGAATCCTTAGAAGCAGGGAAGCAGTAGACAGCGTCGTAAAGGTTAAACGGCTGCACATATGTATACTGGGTTTCAGCCCACAATGGGTACTGTGGCCAACGAAATTACTGATGAGGTTGCCAGAAGTGTCATACGTCTTATTAATGAGACGTAGGAGAACACTTTTTCACTTTGTATCCAGTCTTAACTAACATTTAATATTGCTTCGCAGTTTAAAGGACTAGAGCATGTTGCAAAAGTGGATATTAAGCCTGTGGCGAAAAAATGACGACGCACTGTACCTCAACGACTATTTTAGATTGGAATAAAGCGGTCCTTCAGATCTTATTCAACAATTAAAGCCCTTTTCCGACTTCAAAAGAGCTCTACTCACTGCCATTCCTTGCCTTCTAGGATCGGACCAATAGAGGTGCTATATCCTGTGGTATCTTTAGAAGATCTTACCCACTAGTTTATTTAAAGACGTGTACGTGCCAAGGCCGATTACGAAAAACAAATACTCATATACAATGTACGTTTAAAGGGTGGGGAAATTTAAAATCAGATGCCTTCATTCAAAATAACCCGCGGATAACAGGCTTATTTTAACGAGCTAATAGCACAGAACTGGACTAAGTCCGGTTGTCCAAGGGTAATGTAGTTCCAGTCCTCGAAATAACATTTGGTTGTTACATGACAATAGCCTCTGAGCTTTAGTTGAACTTTTGGTTTAGTTGAGACCTCCAACTGGGAACGAGTTGTCAAGAAAGAAAACAAAATTGCAAGTATCTGCTCCATCTTTTTAAGTGTGGCGGATCAAAAACGATTATTTTTCAAAAGATTTAAACAGAAATATACACACTCCTTTCAACCAGAAGGGTCTACTCATGGCTCCCATTTCCCACAGCCTGTGATGTAGAATTTCATTTCACTGAGCTTCTACTTTTATTAATTCAGTACGTTCTCAAAAGATGGCTCCAACTGCAAGTTCTGGCCGATTTCGGAAGCGATTCCATATTTTATTGGAAATGTTTCCCATCCGTCAACAAAAACTCGTCCGTTTCTGACAATAACATTGTTTCTTGCCTCTTCGAAAATATCTGGACTTGTGTTAACTAATCAGTATCCGCCAAAAGTTTTGACTTTCTATTTTTAATGGGAAGAATAGGGCAGCTGAAGCCCGAATAATTGTGGATATTTAAGGTACACCTGCGCCGACCGATAAGTCATGCAGAGGCTTATATCGATGCTTCAAACGTAGTGTATTTAGCGTTGAAGGCCTTCAAGAGCGTTCCGACAAACCCAAACAGTTTGAAGATGAGGAAGTAGAGGCTTTACTGGCTAAGGATTCATACCAAACGCAAACTGAACGCACGGAATCATTGGGAGTGACTCAGCAAACAATTTCCGTTCAGTATTTGTATTTTGGATTTATTCAGCCGAGAGATGTCGAAAGGCGATTTTTCATCACGCAACTGTTACACATCTAAGGAAGGCATTTTTGCACCGGATCGTGAGTGGAGCTCATCTGAGACGATAATCTGAAAAAATACTTTGCCAATCTTGGTGAACCCGTTCCATCATCGTCGAATTTCAATGCTAAAGTAAACCATCCACTGTTCAAAGGTCATCTGCATATGGTTTACTACGAGCTGCTAAAACGAGGCGACAACTAATGCATTCAAACGGTGGTTTACGTGATAGGAAACGACCAGAAATGACTGAAAGGCATGACAAGGTGACTATGCAATACGACACCACTCGGTCCCAAGTAGCTGGAACCACTGAACTGGAAGTTTTCATCACACTCGCCGTATTCTCCTTGCTCCTTGCTTCAGCTGGCTTTTTCGACGGGGTTGCAAAACGATTGAAGGTGTCACCGGTTCGGGTCTTTTGAAGAAATCCAAGAATGACTCAATGGTTTGGATCGAGGGCAGAAAAGCAACATTTTTGAGAGATGCTACTCGAGAATTAACAAGGAGATGGTAAAAAGTAGCCGCTTCCGATGGACAATTCTTGGAATCTTGTATTTTTTTTTTAGTTTTTTTTTTCAGTAAAAATATTATTTGCAAACAAAAAAATAGCTTTTGTTTTTTGTTTTTGCTTAAAAAAATAATTTATTTATTAATTAATGACAAGAGGTTACAGGAAAAACTTTTACTCTCTGGATATTCAAGAGAAAAAAATAAATACAAAAACTCCCCATCTTCAACGATGGCCCCAAGCGGGCAAGTGAGTACATACATACATACATACATACGTATAACAACGTGCACATAGAATATTTTTCACGGTCTTTCTGTTTACTTTCTTTTATTAGATTTTTAATTATCGGCGCCTTTTCGGCTCCATTTCAATCATCAACTCCTCAAGTGAGCCACCGAAAGCAAAATCTTAACCCCAGGCAAAACAGTAGTCATCTTTAATGCTCATTCAGTCAGTTATGACACTCACACAAACATAGAATTAGGTTTCTAATACATACTGTTATTTTATTGAACGTTCATTACCATAAGCCGCTGGCATCGCGGCCACCGCTGTCGCCTACAATCCGTCAGTAATCAAACTGATATACCTAGACTTGTCTGGATTAATTTTGTATTCAAATACATACGTAATTGTACTCGCATACAAGCAGACATACATACAAAAGTACATAAACGTCTACAGTGCCATAGTAAAGTTCCAGCGCAGAGTGAAATCGTCTCCTATTTGGCCTCCAAGCCAAACGCGAAAGCTTATTTTGTTGTCTTCTTTAGTCATTAAACGAATTAAATATTTCCTGAGGAGCTCATCAGAAAGGGCAGCCCAGAAGAAACTATAGAAAATTTGTACTGTTGTCCAACCCAATGACGTCATTCAGGGTTAGAGAGTTGAAGCAGATTGTCCTTTAAGATGGCACGTTTGATGACCAACCCCTTGGTAGGGTATTACTTATAGAGTCCGAGTAGTTTTGTAGTTTTTTTTGGATGAGCTTTGGAGGTCGCTATACTTCTTTACTGCAGAACTCCAGCGGTTGGCGGCTTCAGTACATTAAATTAAGCTCTTTCATTGGTAGCATAGATGTCTCACAGGGAAGTTGCAGCCCGAGAGACACTGAGACACTAGGAGATTTCCTGCTGACTGATCAGACAGAACTCCCTGGAACCAACCATCCAAACCAGTGCAGCGAAATTTATTACTGTCCGGCTATTTGCTCTATAAATATTTCTTTCACAATTAAAAAATATCAATTTTTTAATAAACTGTAAGCTGTCCATCGGAAAAAACCTCTTCGTGCTGTTCGATACGAAACGATATATCAGATTACTGTGTGTGACATCTTTAACCTAATGAACGATGATCTGTACGACATATAGGTCGACAATGTCCTTATGCAGGGAATTGATGGAGGTAGCACTTACGGTGGTTGGGTCTTATCGCCCATATGGACGATAAGAAGCTAGCTTTGTCGACACACTATCGGCAGAGAAAGAGGAATACCACCATACCGTTGGAATGATTAGGCTTTACTTGGTTTCTCCTGGTTGGGAATAAACGAATGGCACGCTAACTCCGCTCAGCTCGTAAGATGCAGCAGAAAAAGTAGAAGCAGCTGCTTAGAGTAAACCAAGACTTAGACTGAACGGGAACTTTTGTGTCACACTGTACGTTCGTGTATGTATGAATGAAGACATTGTAACCGCAGAGCGATTAAATCATGATGAGGCATTTTGATTATTTGAATTGTGTCTCGCAAGTACACATTGCGGCGTTAAAGATCACTTCAACTCCCCGTACAACAATGTTTAATGAGAATCTCATTAAAAAATTTCTTTTTCGAACATTTTGATAGATCGAAGCTCATTACCGTTTATTGATGCCCCAGTGTGTGGTTTCAAGAATTTCAAATTTGAAGGGTCATTGGAGTGGAGAATAAAATTAGCCACGATAGACATGTAGTAGATACACTTGCGGCCATACTTTCCATACATAATGATGATACCTTTATTGACATAGTTTTGAATGGCTGTTTCCAATGCGGGCAGGAAATGAGCTCGGTATAAAAGCAACAGTGACGCCGACGCAGTGATGCATTAATTAACAGAATGGCTACAAGGAAACTCAGTGTAGCAACACTACTGCTCGGCTGCTTGGTATGTGCCGGTAAGTACAATGAAATCGGCTTGACTGCAAGCAAATCCATAAGTAGAACTCTTTTCGCCTTACAGTACACTCAGCCGCTTTGGCACCTGTGGTGGTGAATATAACCGATGTGAGTGAGCCTGCGCCAATAAGGGAGACGACTTCAACAACTGTCACGCCGCTTAGCACCACTGAAACCGTTACCAGCACTTCAACAGAGACGCAGAAGTCGACAGCAGCGCTACCGGTTATTGTGGATGAGCCCACCGCCCACGCAGAACAACAAGCTGAAGAAGGACGTTCGGTTGCACCGATCGTTGCAAAGGAGTTGGATGGTCGCAGTGCTTACATAAATAATCAATATGTTGCTGATGAAGAACCATTATCGTACAATGACACCTCGCCACCGCTATATCAATTCCTACAGGAACGTATGGAGCAAATACTTGCCTCCAGTTTACCTGGTGAATATCATTTGGAGACTAATGCTGGCAATAAGGAGTCCACAGCGACCAGTGGTGCTGTTGGTAAGGAGATGACCAATAACGGTTATGGCATGCCAGCGCTACAAAACTCTATAAACAGTCCAGTATTTGCTTATGGCGGCACAAATTTTGAAGAGGACGATGATCTGGTGGGCTCTTATGGCAAGATACAGGATGAAAAATTCTATCATGGCACAGCGCCTACTAAGCCAAGCACATTGGAATTACCGAAACCAATTAAGATGCACACTGTAGTCGTGCGTCCGAAATTGCCAGCAACCACAACAACCACATCCACCACAGAGTCACCGAAGACATCGAATACCGGCGGTTATGGTCTGCAATTGTCATTGCCGGCGGTTAGTACATCACAGCAATATAAGCCACAAGTGACAACGAATGGCGGTTATGGCACACACAACGCGAATTACAAACCTCCTGTAAAGGAGGAATTTTATACACCGCCCACACCGAACAAATACACTTATGTGCGCCAAAATAGCACTGTGCATATGCGGAAGCGGCGCATCACATTCAAAACGGTCGCTTCGGCCTCGCAAATCATCTCCACTCCAATGGCGGATTTGATGTTTAAATATTCGATTGGTGTAGCGAAGCCGTCCATGGCGGCAGGTGGCAACTCCTTGTACGAGCAGGATGATCAGCCAATACGTAACATCATATCAAATGGCTACAATGGTAATTTGGATATGCCAAAGCAAAGCTATGGCGGTAAGATATCGCACAGCAGTCATCGAAAGAACTAAAGCGTCCTACATACATATGTATGTACGAGTAGATGCAGTGTTTATAGTTATAGTGAGGAAAAAATTTATTTATTGCTTGAATAAAATTTTGTTTAAAGAAATCCAAGTGACTTTTCGTGAATATGCAGCTAGGTTTTAGGGTTTCGAGTGAATTCACCCTCTTTGTTGGCGGCTCTCGCAAGTAATCTGCTCCCACTGTTCCTATTTGTTTAGGATATGCAGCACGTTTAATACGTTGGCGCTGATAGATTTGGAGGTATTGCCTTCGTAATAAGCTACCTGATCACCTGGTTCGTTTGTCGTTTGATCTTATCCAGCAAAGTATAGTCAACGAAATTTTAACTCTCTCATCGCATCTCCCCAGATTAGACAGACTTTTTGACTTCGATCTAGAGATAGGTTACATCAGAAGATTGATTTCAGCACCCTAAAGACACTTCCCTTAGTCCGCTTCTGGTGATTAATCCGCTGCAAATCGTTTCGAGTACTACGTTCTGAAGTGTGTTTGAGATTAAGCCCTTTTTAATGGGGAAATGCATTATTGAACGTAAAATCCAGCCATTAGCTCTGTTAAAGTTGACTTGGGTCCGGCAGCTCGGAAAAGAGAAGCCGGCTGGCTTGTAAGACAAGAGAATTGTTTTAATTAATCATACTTTCAAAGACTTGCGGGTGATCTGAATATATCGAGTGTATTGCTGGCCCTATGGAGGTTGTGGACAAGGGCAAAGAGAATATCACTCTACTCAACACGTTGGTTTTTATACCGGATTATTTTCCGGCCAAGGACTTTACCTACCGCAACATTCCCCAAAACCTGCTTTGTGGAATAGTTTTGAGGCTGCAACAAGAACAACAAAAACAACGAATCTTCAAGGCCTTCAGGCCCACTGGGCAGCCATATTTGTAGTAGATTAAACTCTTATTTATCCAGACTTGACCTCTTTTCATGCCCCTTAAAACCAACTGATCTAACCCTCGCTTTTCCTCTAATTTGAACCCGTCGAAACAACACGCTTCCGCTAGATGACACCTCGATAACTTAGACTGATCTAGCCTGCTTCTAAGTAGGGTCAGCAAACGGCTGCGACAACACCCTGTCGTAAGAGGCGACTAAAATCCCATAGTTCCCGCGACAGTCGATTTTTATCCAACCAAGGATTGCCACTCCCGCAACATTACCCAAAAACTAGTTTGGGGAATAATTTTGCGATTACAACAATAATAACAATATTGCAGGTTGTAGCTATCTAGACAAGGGTATCGGCTTCCACAAGACAATAGCCCCAATTGTCATTGTCGGAATTTGAAGTTAGAGCTCTCGACCTCACAATAATGGTTTGCCAGAGGAGTCGCTTGAATCGTGGTTCTTACTTACGTACTTTTCGGTTCAAAGGATATTTTATCAAGATTCATAGAACTTCATATATGTAGCTGTCAATATATTTTAAAAGCGCTCGATAAATATTAAAATACCGGTTTTTTCATGCTTTTACAAATATTTATTAGTCACATTTACATTTTTGTTACGTTATAAATAGTTGCCATCGCTATTTTATAATATAAATCCAGTTCTTTTTAGTTACACTTTGAGACACATTAACTACTTTTCAGAATTCAAAATAGTTATTTTACATTTTTTTTCATTCAATTAAAAATGAATCAGTTCTAGTAGTTTGTTTTAGTTAATAATAGACTTAAATTAGCGTACAATATTAGAAATAAACATACTTATAATTGACTATGCCACGCTTTCGTTGGTATTCGATGTTAAAGGCAAACAGTAAGTAAGTTCGAAAAAGTCGTTATGAGAATATTTTGAGGAAATTTGTAAATAAAACTTAACAAAAATGACTAAAGGTTTCCACTTAGTTAGACATTTTTTATGATTTTTACAGTTCATACATTTTTTAACTCCCTTTCAATATCTATGTTTGTATGTATTCTTATATCTTCCTTAATACTAATTAATGCATAGGCCAAAATTTCAAAGCAACTAACGGCATAGTTACACCGGTTATAATGCTGGAAATTAAATTTACACTGTGATTGTCCAGTATACGTAAACCGCTAATATGTACTACACCCAATCCGGGGCATTCGGCAATTTTACCCTCTTTGTCCTTACCAGAGTATTGCATTGTTGCGCCGAGAAATGAATCCACCAACGAACCAAAAAGTCCAGCCACTCCACCGAAAATGATGAGCGGCCATTGTGGAGGGCTTGATAATAAAATATGCCCATCGACAGTGTAACGCACAGTTAAATAGTAAGCAAAGCCAACAAATAAACCGCCTCCCAGACTAGCGGCAAGTCCATGGAATGACACACCACCATTGGTGCCGCGCGGTACACGACGTCGTGTGGTGATGAGAAAAGGTTCCGATTTGGAAAGCACACTGCCCAGTTCACTCGCCCATGTATCGCCATTGCAGCATGCGAAGGCACCTAAAAATAAAAAATTATTTTAGAAAGTTTATTTCTTTATATCACACAAACATATATACCTGTATAGCGAAAAAAGTTAGAGGTAAACAAAAATACTAAAATACATACATAGTATATTAATAAGCATGCATATAAAGAACTATATATCTTGAAAAACTTCCATCGGAAACCAAGTTATTTTTAAACGAACGTTATACTTACTCATAACCGCAAGCCCTAGCCAGCTGGAGCGATACTCATCAGTGAAGTTAATGGGCCGTTCACAACTGCCACAGTCTATAAGATACAATATTGCCAACTGTGTGGCCATACCGCTATTGCACAGCACCTGCACCCAATTTCGTTGACCTTCGCCTTTTCACAAATATAGATATTCGTTATTTATATTTTTATATTAAACATTGAAACTCTTTTATTACAATTAAGCGAAGTCTCCAAATCAATTACAGGGCTTACTGTAGTTAAAAATATGATGTATACTCACTCACCTTCCTTAAAGTCCTTTTCAAATTTTCTTTTCAGATGTGATCTGAATTTAGTGGCTCGGGAAGAACTGAAGAAGAATGCCGCCAAACTGGCGAAGAAAGCATGATTCGCAAGTGATAAAATGAATGCGAATAGTACTCCCAATACGGCGCCTGATTTGTTTACCGACTTCCTGCGCAAGGCAATTATCATGAGCGCGAGGGGAGCCAAGGTTGAAAATAGCCAACGTGTCGGCGATATCACAGGAGGTTCTGAATAAAAAATAAATTACAATTTCAAAGAGATGTACTGAAACAGATATATGTACTATGTGCATAGGGTGTGGTACACCCGCTTATCTTTTGTGATTTATGGTTAATAACTCAACTCACCTTCAAATTCATTGCTGTGCCAAAATTTCGAGAAGGCTAGATGTCCCAGCCACATAAATAATGATAATGGTATGGAAAGACTGCAGAAGATCACCGGCAACCAAGCGTGAATATCCATTTTGATCACATATAACGTTTACCATCAACAACCCAACACGGAATGCAATGCCCAAAAAGTGAAATTCGCTTTCTTTTTTATCTTACTGAATCAATTTTTTTTCTTCAAAGTTGCAAAGTGCAAAGCAGAAATGCCGAAAACAGATAGCAACGTATATGGTTATCAAAACAAAACAATAACCACATGCTGATTTTTTTGTTTGTTTACCTGAGTTTTAATACTAAATCAATACAACGCTGTATGTATTGCAAACACAAAACCCTTCAAGCTTTGATACGAATGTCAGAAAACAAAAGGAAGAAAAACACGTTAAACAAAAGCAAAAGCAGGCGACCGGTTAGATTTCTTAGCAACGCCAAACAATTGTTAAAATTTCCAGAAATTTTCAACAAGAAATCGATTCCAATATAAACCTAATTTAATTCAAAAGCAAATAACTTCAACACAAAAATGGCTGATGGTGATAAGATTGAAGTGCGCGACGTCACACGCATCGAACGTATTGGCGCTCATTCACACATACGCGGTCTTGGTCTTGACGATGTGCTGGAAGCGCGTGCTGTATCACAGGGCATGGTTGGTCAAAAAGATGCACGACGTGCCGCTGGAGTTGTAGTGCAAATGGTACGTGAAGGTAAAATTGCTGGTCGTTGCATTTTACTGGCAGGTGAACCGAGTACCGGCAAGACTGCAATTGCTGTGGGAATGGCACAGGCATTGGGAACTGAGACACCGTTTACCAGCATGTCTGGTTCAGAGATCTACTCACTTGAGATGAGCAAAACTGAGGCGTTGTCACAGGCGTTGCGCAAAAGTATTGGTGTACGCATAAAAGAAGAAACAGAAATTATAGAGGGTGAAGTTGTGGAGATACAAATTGATAGGCCTGCCACGGGTACGGGCCAAAAAATAGGAAAGGTATATCTGAATATACAGTTGTTTACTTTTAATATCTCACAATATTATAAATTATTATTATAGGTCACCTTGAAAACAACTGAAATGGAGACGAACTACGATTTGGGCAATAAAATTATCGAATGCTTTATGAAGGAAAAAATACAAGCTGGCGATGTTATAACCATCGATAAAGCATCCGGTAAGGTAACCAAATTGGGGCGTAGTTTTACACGTGCACGTGATTATGACGCTACAGGTGCACAGACACGTTTCGTCCAATGCCCAGAAGGTGAACTACAGAAACGCAAAGAAGTAGTACACACAGTAACACTACACGAAATCGATGTCATCAATAGTCGTACACACGGTTTCCTGGCACTCTTTTCCGGTGATACGGGTGAAATTAAACAAGAAATACGCGATCAAATCAACAATAAAGTACTTGAATGGCGCGAAGAGGGTAAAGCAGAAATCAATCCCGGCGTGCTATTCATCGACGAAGTACATATGCTGGACATAGAATGTTTCTCATATCTAAATCGTGCGCTTGAATCCGATATGGCACCTGTTGTCGTCATGGCTACCAATCGTGGTATTACACGTATACGCGGCACAAATTATCGCAGTCCACATGGTATACCAATAGATTTATTAGATCGTATGATTATCATACGAACTGTGCCGTATACAGAAAAAGAAATAAAAGAAATCTTAAAGATACGTTGCGAAGAAGAAGATTGTCTAATGCATCCAGACGCACTAACAATTCTCACACGTATTGCCACGGACACTAGCTTACGTTATGCAATACAATTAATAACCACAGCGAATTTAGTATGCCGACGTCGCAAGGCGACAGAAGTAACCACAGAAGATGTTAAGAAAGTGTATTCTTTATTTTTGGATGAAAATCGCTCCAGTCAGATTCTGAAGGAATATCAAGATGAATATATGTTTAATGAAATACAAGAACCCAATGATTGTGAAGTTGTGACAAAGCGTGAAGAAGCTGGCGGTGGTGATGAACAACCTATGGAACATTAAATAGACACTTTGATGGACAACAGTTGATTACATACATACATACATTCGTAAACTTTTAATGCTTTAGTTGAAAATAAAAACAAAACGTTTTCAATGCTTAATAATAAAAATATATAATTTTGTATATTTAATTATTGTGTTACAATAAATTTTCTTCGTGTATATTGAAAAGTAAGTACAATAAGTTGCATGCATTGTGGATAGAACTTTAATTTTGACAGAATTTTGTACGCTATTTGAAGTGAAAGCTTTTTTTTTGTTTTGTTTGTAAACATCTAACATTTGAAAATATTATTCACGTAGATACAGAGCTTATATAATTATTTTTAATTATTGCCGTCAACGCTTTTAAATACTATTAAATTTCTACTATGCCTCAGCATTAACGCTTATAAAATAATTGTTACAGTTGCAAAAAATATTGCATATTCCAATTAAAATTAATTCGATTGAAAAAAAAAAATACTTTCGAATATATGTTTTTATGTGATCAATTGAAAAAAAAGCATTACATACATTCATAATTGAGCGTGCGTGAGTTTCGCAGGAAACAAACTAATGCAATGTGTGTGTGTGTGTTATAAATTAAAATTATTTACTGACTAGAAGGCTTTATTGCTGGAAATTACAAAAAGTTCCCGACTCACTTAAATTGGAGCTATCGGCTTTTTCTCTAATATATTAAGTTTAAGACAAGCTTCTGTAAATTATAGACTTTTGCTAAGAATATGTCTTTTGTTGTTTTCACTTTTGTCAACAGCCTTTTTTTTACTTTACACAGTTCTTACATTAGTCTTCCTACATCTTTAGGCGCAGTTTGTTTTTAGTTTATACATACTTAACATGATTTTATTTATGTATTTTTTATTTTATTTTTTTTGCTTGAGTTGATCTTATAAATTGATTTATAGCTTGTTCTACCGTTTTCCAACCTAAAGTTGTAAGTATTTTTTACTAATCCCTTTTCTCATCACTTTTACCATCCACAGTTGGTGAAAGCGTCGTTGCACGTCCAAATGTTGAGTCGTGTTGACGTCGTTTTGCTGCACGTTCATAGTATTTAAATGTTTGATAGAAAATTGTCCAAAGAATCACATAAACAATGACGCAATAATAGATTGCACTATAAGCTTTCATCCAACGTGAATAATCTAGCAATATAAATGGTGTCATACACCAGCCAATAAAGAATAGATCGTAGAGTTTCTTCATGAAATACTTGAGTACTGGATAAACGAATGGTGGACTAACTATATCGGCATACATATCGATATTAGTTTTAGCCCAAACGCTGGCAAACTGCAAGTGCAAGTAAAAAGATAACCATTGTATAAATTGGCAAACAGTGTTATATAAAAGTGGCAACTTACTTGTTTCTCCACCGTTACAGTCATATATTCATTCAAAAAAGCCATATAATAACCGCTATGGAAACCATGCCACACAGCTAAGAAGCCCAAAGCGGCAGCGTAACTAATTGTGCGGTTGTTAAGGAATTTAAGACGCTTATACACATACTGGCCAAGCCAATGATTCGTATTAATATTAAATGAATGCACATAATGTTGCATTGTGCATTCCGTTTCCAAAATCATTAGATTAACATTAGAACAACCAGACCAATCATTTTCGCCATTCTCCTTTTTGCCAGCATATGAAATGCCTATTGTTAAAAAAGAGAGTTTCAATTGTAATTAAAAAGCTTCCAGAAATATTTTTTTTGTTGACTACTCACCTAGATTTATAAGTGCGCCCTCTGTTAGTAGCCAGCAGGCGACGTATTTGTATATTATTACCTTTGCCCACACTCCCATGTAGACCAATCGCCAAAAGAATGATGCTTTCGGATAGTCATCCGATACGAAATAGGAGTCCGGAAAATATATAGCACCCACTTGACTAATTGTTAAGTACACAACACCGATTGCCATACGCTTAAGACTCGCTTCCAAGCGTCCGCCATGCTCACCGAATTCACCATCAATAAAACGTTTATAACGACGATATGGAAATTGTGGTCCAATTAAAAATGAACCTGGGAAATAAGCGAATGCAAATAATTCTATGGCTGTGGGTAGCTCTGCTATTGCACATTCTTTTTGTTCTTTCGACAGCTCTTCTTGTTTCTTAAGACCATCTGTCACATCGAAACCGTAACCGATTAAACGTAATACCAATACACAATGCGGCATAGTCCATAATATATCATATTCATCACTCTCCGTATAGTAATAGCCAACCAGTAGGTATGTCATGTGAAAAGTGAAATTTATTATTTTCAATGGCATTGGCGCTGAACGTAGAAATCGTGTAAGTAAATATGTTGTCGCAATTGCTGTAAATGAGTGATAGGCGCTAAAGCCAAAATTAAAGAGACATAGTAGAAAGCCGCTCGCAGCGAAGTAAGCATGATGCACTCGCTTATCGCTTTGTTGGATGATAAACTTATGATATAAATATGCAACACCATAACCTAGAAGCACAAAAGTTATGATTATTACTCATAGTTCAGGGTATGCTCTGTAAAGTGTTTAAGTTACCAGCAAAAATAGAAAGCAGTAAACGTAGGGCAGCTTCATTAACGCCAAATGATAACGCCAACCTGCTTAGCAAGCCACTTGCCTCTGCGGCCGACATGTTAAGTTCAAAGTACAAAACTCACTGTAATTATATATAAAATAAAATATTTAACATAAAAAAATTATTAAATTATTACTGTAAAAAAAAACTATTTAGCTGCCCCGCAATTATTCATCATATTAAAGAATAAATTATACATATGTTTGGATATGTACATATACAAAGGAAAGATCAAAATGACATATTAACCTATTAACCTATTGACATGAAAACATGGAAACATGGAAATACTAGCAAGCAAGTCATAATTTTTAATTTGATATAATGAACTTGAACTCGCAGTTATTAATTATAATCACAAAATACATACATATGTATATGTGTTTAGGAAAGTAAATAACAAGTAATTTGCATTTTTGGCAAGACTGCAATAAAATAATAAAAGTGACTTTAAACTGCATAGTGGCAAAGTGCCAAATGGGCTATATTTAAAAGTTAATACGTGTTTATACATACATATTTAAACGAAATAAGACAAAAAGTAGGCACATATACAAATTATAATTCAGTAACATATAAAATTATGTTGTGAACCATAAGTTGTATTAACAAACAACAAACGAATAAATGAATACATACATACATACTTTACCACCAAAGAGTAGACAATAGATATACTGTTGATAACAGAGGCGTTAAAATCTACTTAGTCATGCGAAGTCATTGTTTGATTAAAAATAGATTATAAAACACAAAAGTAATTATAATTTAAGCACAATCAATCATATACCTATATATAGGGAGCAAAAACACAGAATTACTTTTCAACTTCATGAAATTTACGTATTTATATAAAAGTGGATCTACATAAATGGAATCAACATATGTATACATACAACCAAATGCTTTACTAATAATATTACTGATTACGTCAAATACTCCGTACATAAATAAGGTCAATCAAAATGTTGCTTACATTTTTATTTTATTTTATTTTTTTTTTTGTTTTGTTCACCTTGACTTTGTTATGATTTTTTACTTCGCCGTCCTTCCACCAAGGTAATTTCAAGTTGTGTTTGACTTTAACACAATCTGCGACCAGCTATCACACAATTTCTATTTACTTTATCTGCAATTAATTTTACTTCGTTCCTTTTATGTAAAAACACTAACAAGTCCTAAATAGGACAAATATATTATTTCAATTTCTTCTTTACATTTATTGATTTTCAATAATTAATTTGCAGAAATTATTAATTTCATAATTATCCAAACAGGTGTAAAATATAGTATCCAAACACACAACGAATCCCGTCAAATGCAAAACAACATTAAAAAGTAAATTCACAGCTGTCAGCAATTATATTTGTTTATTTAATTGTGAATTGTTTAGAAATAGAGTTGCTGCTGCTTTCTTAAATTTTTTTTTTATCTTTAACCTCTAAAACTGTAAAAAGAAGAGGCATCTGTTGAACATTATATTTGTCAATGTCAAGCTTAACACACGAAATGGTTCAATCGTTTGAGATGAGAATGATAGGAGCCTCAAAGCGGTATCACAATGGACCTATTTGTCTAAGTGTGCTGGTAATAATCAACATCCGCAGAAACTCAACTCAAAGTAGCAAAGAGTATTAACATTTATGAACGCGTTTGAAAGCGAGCTTTGTAAACTGACTATTAGCGTCAGCTGTTTTCCATAACTGTCAACTATGTTGTGATTAAAGCAACAAATAGACATTTTCTAAGTGTGAGTTGTAGAAACTAGATACAATTTAATTTAATAAAACCAACAAAAGTTTGATAATAACGCCAAGCATTTGTTTTAATATTTAGGTCAACGAATTATTGGGAAGAAAAACAAATATAATAAAAAATTGAAAAATTTAATGGTGTAGAAACTACTGTTTGTTTCACTGACGTGTCAACAAATTTGCTACAAAAACAATACGATTTGAAGCCTTTAATATTAATTAAGTAGCGGCAGTAAGAAGCTATTTCCAACACAAATCTGGCGCATTCCAGCAACAGCATGCGACGAAATAATTATCCATACCAGCCGCTAAATCAGACGCCGGGACACAGTGCACAGCCACACGATGCGCTAGAAGAGGAGAATGAACGTGCTGCTGAAGATTTAAAGCATAAAATTGGAGCACTTAAATCACTCACTATCGATATAGGCAACGAAGTGCGCTATCAGGATAAATTATTACGTGGCATTGATGATGACATGGACAGAACAGGTGGTTTCCTGGGAAACACAATGGCACGCGTCGTCCGTTTAGGAAAGAATAGTGGCAGCCGCCATATGTGTTACATGTTTCTCTTCGTACTATTTGTATTTTTCATACTCTATATTGTGTTAAAAATTAAGTGAAATAGTTGAGAAGAACTGCAGCAGTAATTGAGATATTGAGAAATAGATTTGCCGAAACGAATGTTAATACTGTCATATTACTAAGTGGTTACATATAGCAAAACCAGTTACACATTACAAAGGAATAAACTATTTTTGTAAACATAAAAAATATATATATTTGTGATTTTCTTTTTATAATGTAAATAAAATCTAAGAGCATAAATCTATAAACTAGTTAAAAGTATTGTAAAAGAATTTACTTTCCATCATCATTACACCGTACTTATTTTTAGCTTAGTGGCTGATTCGTCTCTCATAAGTGAAGGGATTGTTCTTGTAAATACGAATATGGGTGGGACACCTACAAAATATTTGGACGCTATTTGCGCTGTTGTGTAGTTAGTGGTAGCAATGTCATGATTTTTGGGGCTGTCAATGCCTATGTCTGATAAGAGGTTCTCATCTTTTTGCTGCGACGGCTAAAATCTTGTTCATCACCATCCGAGCTATCTGCAGCTGTTGCTTGATACTCTTGATTCAATTGCTGATATTCGTTGGGATCTATCACATAGCCCTTTTTAGCCTCTTCCAACATACGAACTGAAACAAGCAAATAAATATACTATATTTTATTATGAAATATATACATATATTTATTTTTTGGAGTAAATTTTGTGTGTATAAACGTTATTTAATTGAAATTCGTGCAATTTAAACTTTAACTCACTTTGCGCTTCAAGTATTGCATTTTGTTTCTTTATATCGTCTACATCTTTTTGATTTGAATGTATTTTTCGTCTCATTTCTTGTATGCATTCAGTCGTTTTCTTCAATATCTGCGCACGGCTAGCCTGTAGTGGGGTTCATGTAAATACAATTACACCATGTTTTGAAAATTTACAATATGCATTACCTTTTCACCCTTAAGGGTGGGCACTGCTTCACGAAGACTTGTAAAACTTTCCTTAATATGATCACGTCTTTTTCTTTCCAAAGCATTGTGGTGTGCACGTTTTTCGGCCTAAAATATAAACAAAGCATACATAAAGTGAGTAAATACAGTGCTATGCATGAATCGGTGTGGTGGGGTGGGTGTGTGGGTCAATAAACCATCAAAGCAGAAGCAAAAATAATCAACCACCCAACAATACCAGAAATTATAAGTGTGTTTGTATGTGTTTATCAGCACGCGCTAGCCAGCACATAACGTTACACAGCAACAAACACTCACCTGTGTAAAATTTTGTGCACTTGCATGCCTTGAAGACTGTGCACCAGTGTCTGAATCATTATCATCCTATTGAAATTAAAATAAACAGATGAATATTTCAAAATACCAATTAGAATATCTTTTGTTTTGCGTGAGAAAAAATATTGTTGCTATTTGTTGTGGCTTTTCAGTTCCTTACATCACTTTCAATGTCAATATCCCTTTCTTCGTCACTCATTTTTGTCAACTTATGCTCAAAATAGAATTTTACACTTTAATATTTAACTTCACTCCACCAATTGGCAAAAAGCACAAATTTTAAAAAATATATTTTTAATACTTCCTGCAAATAGAAAAAAATAAGCTACGCACTTATTTCTGGGTCTCAAATTTTACACACAAATACCAAAGATGACAATCAAACAAACGAAAACGTGCGAGACAATACACAGAAAACGAAATGAATGTACACGCAAAAAGAAGAGAGCATATAGTGTTGCCACGTCCACAGACTACAGTGCTGGACTATGAAGTTGAGCCTTCTTACATGTAAAAACCAACTAAGTAACATTTGAAGAAATATTTTGTTTGATATTTTTAACACATATACATTAAACAAATAAGTGTCTAGCATATACATTAGTTAGTAGAAGGCCTTTCAGTGGGAAAGAGAGCCTACATAAACTAAATAGCTCGGTCAAGAGGACGGAGGAGTGAGAATAAATGGAGCCATGTATCCAGGAGAATGTGTGAAATTGACAATTTTCATTATATAATAGAAAAATATTAATTTTATAGAATTTACTTTTACAATGGAAGAAAGCTGAAATCGAACGTCGATAAAATTGTTTGAAGCCCAGTTTTTTTAAGCTAGCCGAACTTGAGCAATTAAATGGTAAATGTGTTACGGCCAAGAACGCATATCAATATTAATATAGGTTATTTGCGGTAACGCTTAGAAAAGTCTGATCGGACGAGACGAATGAAAGTTAAGAAGATACATATTTCTCGTATATATTTAGGCGCATCAGTTCTGAACTTAGTGAGAAGATTAAATTTGTGCGAGGGACCGAAATCCGAAACGGAAGTTGAGAGGGGAGATATACGCCAAAAAGTATGCAATGTCTGAAATTGTTTATAGTTTCAAATTTTCATCTAAAACGCCCAAAACAATTGGTCACTCAACACAATGCCGAAAATCATCGACTTATGCTAATAATCGCATATTAAACAATTACTAGACACAATTTTAGATATTTAAATCCGTGTTGTTCTCATTTATCGGACGACTTATGTACTTGGCAGTCATTCACAATAGATTTGCTTTTTTTTTAGGTTGTTGTCAATAATTCATAAATTTAGCAAAGGTTACAACCCAAAATGCTAGTAAATTAAAAAAAAATTCTTCTTTGAGGGAAGGCTTTATGACACTTCTTAAATATTCGAATTATAGCATATATTTTTCGTTGAGTTCGTTAATTGCAACGACAATGTGCTTACTTAGAATATTGGGTTTTATGGATATAAATTTTATTTTAGAACGATGGAATTTGCACAAAATGACGTTTGGAGACAATAAACTTTTTTGGTTTCCATAAAACTTTAGGTAATAGTTTCGTTTCCGTATTATATGTATAAAGCTTAAGTCGAGGTTCTTGACACGGACGCGTCAGCGCTTTCATAATCTCGTTGTCTGCCTACAGAGAGAGAGAGAGTGAACTCCGCTTTAGTTTAGCTGGCGGTTTGTACCTCCTGGTAAATAGAACCATTTCAGTTTTACATGGGTTAACATTCAGCCCATTGTCGTTGCACCAGTTCCAGACTATATATAGAGCATCTTGGAGCCGACCGCTTAAAGTTTGTAGGTGTTTGCTGTTAGAGCAAAGTCGTGATCGTATGCCATCACACCGCAGCCTATGCTCTTAGGGTAGGCATGTTGTTTCCTCGAGAGGCTGTCTTGTGATAGTTTTAGCAGTATATAGATGTCGGACAACTTTTCAAAGACTCTTAAGTGAAAAGAGGTAAGACTAACGGGCTGAAAGCCCACTGTCTGCTTTTGGGTTAAAAATCAGTTTGATATTAGTCCAGGCCAAGCCTTCACGCTTTCAATATAAGATAGAACTGCTGATAAGATTTCATCAGCTCTCTGTAGTTTAGCGGTGAAGATACCATCTAACCATGAAAATTTAAAGGGTTGGAATGGCTTTACCACCCATTACACCTTCTGTAATGAACCAAGTGACTAATACCAAAGATGCTCTCTCCTGAGGATATCCAACATTTCTTTACAGGGTGAAATTATACACCATCTGGCTTCTGAATGTAGCTTGGCATAGCGGAGCTCTTGCACTCTCTGAGTCTGTTGCTTTCTGGATTGAACTATTGTCTTGCTCGTTATTGTAGTCCTCTGAAGGAGCCTTTATTTTGTTATATGTAAGGAAAGAGTCCTTGTCTTGCGCGTTATTGCAGTTTTCGGAAGGAGTCCTTGTTTTGTATTATCTGACGAAAAAGTCCGGGTCTTCCTTCTTGTTGTAGTCCTCTGAAGGAGTCTTCGGTTTGTCACTTCTAAGGAATGCGTTCTTGCCTTCCTCGTTATTCGTATTCGGAAGGAGTCTCTGTTTTGTCACAACTGAGCAATGAGTCCTTGTACTTTTAACAGTACTCTAACCAACAGGTTGCATGTGAAACTTCCCCACGCAGAATTTCTGTTAAAAATCAACCCCTGCAACATGCGCGGAATCTGTTTTCAATGTTAGTTAACAGTGGATAGAATGCGGCACCCGGCCAATAACAGTATATCTTCACAATTTGCCGAAATGATTATTGGCATATTATTAACGACGAGTGTAGATATTTAAAAATAGCTGACTGGGAATCGCGGCAGACATTCACGTGTGTTTACGCCAGCCACATGGTGAGCAGCACAGTAGCTTTGATGGGATGTGACGGACGGCTTGCTACATACCTAGACGAGCTCACCTTTGAAAAATCACATACACTCGTATGTAGGTATATAAATATGTTTGGAAAAATGTATATATGTATGTATGTGTGAAGCATTTTCACGGTGTTAACTAGTATTAGTAGCCAGCTTAGGTGATGATGTAGTTTGCTGAGCTGTGCGCGAGCTTGTGAGGCGACAGACAAATAGTAGTTCTGGGTGAAAGTACTTTTCCGTCGTACGTTGAGCTGAATTCGTTCGTGACGTCTGTGTTTTTTTTTTTTTTGTTTTTTTTTTTATAATTTCGGTGCTGAGTACCACTGTATGGAGTGTCCTTCAGCGACGGCAATAATAGATGTTTGTGAGTGCAGCATACATATTAAAATAGCTAAACAAGTATAAATCAGAGCAATGGCATACAGAAATATAAATAAAAGGCAAATGAAAAAGAAAAATAAATAAATGCTCAAAAATACGGGCCGCACGTATGTGAGGATGTGGTATGAGTATGTTATGCAGTTTGAGGCTGTCGAGCAGACAAATAAATTGATTAATATATGTATTGGGTTGCCTCAAAAGAAATCGGCGATTTTTCATGCAGACGGCATTGATAATTCTTTTAAAGAGCTTGTGACTATTTATTTGCATTTTTTCTTTTAACAGTTATAAGCTGTCACTTTTAGTATGGAGCCCACAAAGGAAAATTGTCGTCATATTTTACTTTACATTTCCTTAAAAAAAAGAAAATTCAGAAAAGAAAATTCTGGTTGCTAAAAAGTCGCATAATTTGCATGATGACAGGGCCTTTAAAGAAAGACAGTGTCGAAGCTGGTTAGTCATATTGCGTACGTGAGATCTTTCGCTCAAAGATAAGCCACATTCAGGTCCGCCAAATGAAGTTGATGAGGACGATATCGAGGCTTTAATCGCATCAGATCGTCATGTAACTGAGCGTGAGATTGGAGAGAAGTTAAATATACCAAAATCAACTGTTCATAATCGTATGCGACGTCTTGGTCTTATAAAAAAGCTTGTTATTTGGGTACCACATGAATTGAAAGAAATTCATTAAACAAGTCCCTTCAACGCTCGTGATATGCATCTTAAACGCAATGAATATTTTTAACGCAAATCATAACTGAGATTAAAAATGGATTGCTGCTTACAATGACTTTAATCGAAAAAGAGCATAATCCAAGCATGTTGAAGCGCCGCAAACCAATTCAAAGACAGATATTCACCGAAAGAAGACTATGATGTCAGTTTGGTCCTGGGATTCGAAGGGTGCGGTATATTTTGTGCTGCTTCCAAGGAACCAAACGATTAATTCGGATGTTTACTGTCAACAATTGGAAAAATTTAATACATTCATCAACGGGATGCGGCCATAATTGGTAAATCGTAAAGCTGCCATAATCCACCAGGACAATGCTAAAACGCACACATTTTTGGTTACTCGCCAAAGGTCACAATGATTGCCCCCAACCCGAAAAGAGCTCGCATGAGTAAGTCGAAGGTGAAAACGATGATTCTTGGCTTTTTTGATAGCCGTGGAATCGTTCACAAATAATTTCTTCCACCGCAGTACTATCACCAAGTACACGAAAGATCGCAAAAAAGAGTCAACAGGGTGCGCCCAGACATCGTTCGTAGCTGGATCCCTCATAACGACAACGCGCCGTGCCATACCGCCCTCAGTGTGTCCCATTATTTGGCCTCTAAAGGAATCGCCGTGTTGCAACAACCGCCTTATTCGCCCGATTTGCCGCCCTGTGAATTTTTTTGTTCCCTAGAACAAAATCGGTAGTCAAAGGTACCCATTTTGAGTCGATTGAGGACATTCAGGCGGCCGTGACGAGGGTACTCGCGGATATCCCAGTCGAAGCGTTCCAGAAATGTTACGAAGCATGGAAAATGCGCTGGAGTCGGTGTATAGCTGCCCAAGGAGACTACTTTGAAGGGGATGACAGAGTTTTAGAATAATTTTGAAATAAACGGTTTTTATGGAATCGGTCTCATTACTTAATTGTCACACCTTGCGAAAAAGATGGCGATAGTTAATCCAACAAAATGGAGTTCATATAATTGATTTAAGTTCATTATAAAACTAAAAAAAAAATGTATTTACTTTCTTTATAAAAAATCGCCGGTTCTTTTAGGGCACACTTACCAACAATTGGATTTCACATATATGTAGGTATGTAGACAAGTGTCGACCAATTGGCAATAAAAGTAGCAAACAAACTGAAAGACAGACAGACGGACGGACAGACAGTCAGACGGGATAGTAAAACAGCTGTGACTAACATTTTTGGTGACAATGACTGCGCTTTGCGTGTGCGAATTTCATCCTTTTACTACTTTTCTATGTTCTTTGACTTTCCCAACCCGTTCACTCGTTGTTACTCAGCACTTAAGAGTCGTGTGCGTCTTCTCATGGTTCCTTTTTGCGCTCTTCTCGATATTTATAGGCACGCATTGTCCCACGTTGGCAT